AACAATACTGACTTCAAATTTTATAGATTTTTCTGATGATTACTCTACAGCAACATTCACTGATCCTTTTTTTTTTTAAAGTGTATAGCCATGTCTTTGGTCTAAACCATACTTTTTATTTTTATAATTTATTGATCTTTGTCTTTTTATACCACTTTCATTTCAAAATTTATTCCTCCCCTCCCCATCCTCTATCTAGAAAGCTTTTCCTCCTAACATAGAACAGAAAAGTATGGGAGAAAAAGAATTTCAGTAAATTAGCCCATCAATGGGCTCTGACAGTATACATGGTGTTCTACACCCACAGTCCCCCATCAGTCCAATACAGTATGTGAATACATTTTCTCACATCTTCTTCAAGATCAAGCTTGTTCATATTTAGGTAACATTCAGGTTTTTTCCTTCTTTTTATTCTTTCCACTTGGATCACTATAGTCTTTGTCCCAATTGTTTTACTAGCTCTACTCAATCCATCCTGCCTCAGTTCATATGGCCTCCCATGCTCATCCACATTCTTCATATTCATTATCTTTTGTGGTACAATAATATTCCACAGCTTTCCACCTGCCCCAAAATGATGGGCAACTCACTTTATGTCCAGCTCTTTGCTGCCACAAAAAGAGCTGTTATCAATGTTTTAACATATAGAGGAACTTTCTACCTTTAACCTCCTGGGATACATGTCTACCATTTTTGTGACTGAGTATAATCACAAATTACTTTGCAAAATGTTTTGACCAATGCATAGCTCCACCAATAATGTGCCTGTCTTTTCATGACCCCTCTGACACTGGCTAGTCTCAAGTAAATTATTACTACAGTAATAGTATAGTACAGTAAATTAGTATAGTATAATAATTTACTTACAATAGTTTACCAAGTAGCATTTCACCATTAATTTACCATTAATTAAACTAATTCCTTTTATACCTACACAGCTATGTGAAATAGGTCAAATTAATCTTAAACCTATTGTATGTACACACTGGCCCTTTTAATAAATGACAGTGGCTCAATATAATTTTATGATTTTTGTAGACACATATTACAACTTACCAAATCAGTTAGCCCAGCTAAAGCAAAAACTCCTAGTGCAACATTAAAATCTTCTTCAATAATCAAATAACCCAAAACTGGGGCCAAGGCAATTCTTGTCATTGACAGTAAATTTGGGATTGTCCATGGGTTTTCATACTGGAACAGAAAAACAAGAAAATTAAAAATTAATATATACTTTAATTGTTTTTAACTTTAAAATAGTACCATCACATCCTAAAAAGATTAAGGGAGTGGTTTAACAGAAAACCAATAATTTTCTGGCAGAATCTTCCCTTCCCACCAATAATCAGGATCACAGACTATGTATATGCTTTAACTTGAGCCACTATTAATTTAGTTCTGTGTCTACCAAAATTTCTTGAACTCCTACTAGGTATTAAATGGATTACACTGTGCTAAGTGTTAATGGGAAATATAAACAAGAGAGTTATCTGGTTGCTCTACAAGCAGCCTCCTACGCAGAAGTGTGTCAATTAAGAAGAGAAAGGCAGAAAGAGGAAAAAGATGAAACACAAATTACTAAAAAAAAACCCAAAAACAAAATCAAAAGCCAGAAATAGTTTCTGCTTTCAGAAATGGTTTCAGAAAGAAGTTTGAGTTTTGCCGAAGAATGGAATTTTAAAAGGTGGAGATTTCATGAGGAGGAGGGCTTTTCATTCACTGTGTATAGTAGAATAAGCAAAAGGCACAGAAGCATGGCTTTTGTTAGTGAAACAATCTTTAGTCCAGTTTAGACATGGTATATGAAAGGATATAAAATAAGCTACAAATGCAGATTGGTACCATTATGTAAGGCCTTGAAGGCTGGTCTAAAGAATATCTCTACCCAGATGCCCTGCTGAAAAGTTAAGGAAAATACATAATCCAAAACAATTTAAAAGAAATTTATGAACCAGGAAACTAAATTTAAACAGCACCTCACCCTAAAATTCAGGGCCTCCCTACTAATTTCTTCCACCAAATGCCTTCCCTAAGCAGATGTTTATGGAATATGTTGGCATTTGTTGAGGGCCAGAACTGGAAAGTCTAAATATGGGATAAGGAATTTAGGTTATAGGTTGACTCTTCCTTTTCCTACCCATAAGGGCTTAATTATTCAGATCCTTTGGCTCACCAACTTTCTCCTGCCTAAAGGTAAGAATACTCTGACCCTTAGACCTTGATTGTAAGCAGGTGTAAACAATTAAGGTTGTTAGGGCTGGGGTTAGTCACCTAAGAATGGTGAGAACTCCTCAGGCATGATTGTTAGCTTTCACTATATAATCTGGACCCTCAGATAATAAATTGGCTCAGTCTTTCTGACCCTGGCCCAAGTGTCTCATTTCGTACCCCTCGGTTTGATGCAATACTTAGTCCAGGGTGACAGGCATTTAGGCTTCATCTTGAAAATGATTTGAAAGTTACAAATAGCTATTTGAACTTGAAAGTGACAAAGTAACTGATTTGCAGCTGCCTTCAAGAAGCTCCTATACTTTTGGCAAGAAATTTTTCGAGTGATAGTATTTGAATTTTTAAAAGCTTCAGCTGTAAATAGTAGAACAGAAATACTCCTCCAATAATGTGATTTTCCTAAAATCCAACTATGAATTGCTACTCCTAACTCCCTAATGGGATTTTCTTCTCACCCATCCTGAGACCCACTGCCTCATTATCTGGTGCTTCACAGAAACTTGGAAGACACATTTGAAAAATCAAAACGGAAAGATTCTAAGAAAAAGGGTACTCTGAAGGTACTACATCTTTCTTAACAGAATCTGGCAACCAATGTTTTTAAACCTAGTTCGTTTTTTTAAAATTTGTTTGTTTTAGGCAATTGGGGGGGGTTAAGTGACTTGCCCAGGGTCACACTGCTAAGTAAGTGTCAAGTATTTGGTCTGAGCTGGGATTTGAACTCAGGTCCTCCTGACTTCAAGGGCCTCCTATCTCACTGGGCCATCTAGCTGCCCCCTTTTCTTTGTTTTTTAAACACAATGTCTGAAAAGTACTCTACAGTGAAATAAGACTGTCATTCAGTAATCCAAGTGGAATACAAATCTCCAGACATTTATTTAGGCCACATCATCTTTCTCTGTATCCTCCCCCAGCTACCTATCCTACAACACCTAGCATAATACACCTAGCACAGGGCAGACATTCAACAAATAACCATGGAATGGATTTTGTTGAATGCGCCCCCTTACGTAATTTAACTGAACCCTACTAAGAGTGTGTCAAAATTCAAGTTAAAAGGTCACACTGTTTTCCATTGCCACAGTCCAAAGAACAAAGATAGACATTTCCAGGCACCAGTCTGGTATAGAGCAAGTTAAACATATCCAATGTGACAATGAAGAAAAATGTGATAAATCACTTAATGGCTAGAGGGTAAGGAAATAAAAAGCAAAAAACAAAAACAGAATAAAAACATTAAGAATTATTCTTGGGGGAACAAATGAGATAAAATAATCAAGGATAAACAGTCTTGTACGTCCAGGTAAATTAATCTGATAATTATGACTGAAGAAGCTAGACTGGATCCCAAGATACTGGTGAAAGGAGTTAGTTTGTTTCTGCCATATAATTCAGGTCACTTAGAATATATTATGAAATTAATTCACAATCATTAAGCTAAATTTGTAAAACTCTCAAAAAGTTAAAGAAGCTAATCTCAGATTACCCAACCAGATGACACTCAACCTGTGTCATGCTCGAGAAACGACTGAAGTTTATGAAGGAACTTCTGCCAGGATATGGCAACCTCAAACCATACAGCACTCAAATGCCAACATGCTTTAGCTATTAAGGCAGCTTATACTTCTGCCTTGATGTGGTTACCTCAAATCATGCTGCACATCTGATGGAATGGCCTAATAGAGGGCCATTGAAGACACAACAATTGAAGATGTAACAATTGGAGTGAGACTTGCTATCATGACAACAAAAGTTCTCCCACGCTTAAAACTCCATTGACTGACTTAATGTTGGTCAATATTTAACAGATGCCAGGTAACAAATGGAAAAAAAAAGTTGGAAAATATTTCGTATCTCAACAAGCAAAGAAGTTTCATTTTTATTTTAAAAATCAAAGCTATAAATGCTTTAATTAGAACTAAAAGTAACTAGTTCTTTTGGGAATAGCTGAAAACCAAGTAGTCACATGCTTAAGTCAGCTGAAAATTTTGTTCCCGTTATTGATTCCTGAACAAGAGTTCACTTAAAAATACTTTTCATCTAATGACAAAGAGGAAAACCACTTTTCAGCTCCGGTAGTTCCAAAAAAGCACAGGTCTGCACAGAAACCTGCGGGTGGAAGCGCCGTCGCACGTGCCGGCTGGTGGCTTTCTTTGCCACTGACACCCTAAATGACCCACGTTGGGATGCTCGCTCTTCCCAGCTCAACAGCGGAGACTTTAACAGGTTCGGGGGCGGAGCCGCCCAGCGGGGGCTTGCCCCTGCAGCTGCGGGTCACGACCTGGGGGAGGGGCGCAGGTGCCCCTCCCCCGTTACCTACCAGGCTTGAGGGACGCTGGTCCCACGCCGAGTTCAGGACTCCTTTAGCACCTGCAGCTTCTGGCGTTTGTTCCGGGGCCCCCCTTACCCCTCCAGAGCTGTGTCCCCTTCGGCCGGACACTGCCAGCCGCAGACCGGCCGCGACCCCGGTCCTGGGCCGGGGGCTGCCCGGCGCGGGCGGCAGCAGCCCCCAGTGGGTGGGCAGGAGGCCCCAGCGGCCGCAGGAGGCGGCGGGGCCCGGGCTCAATGTGGGCCGGGGCCACCTTCCGGCTCCCGCCAGCAACTCCTCGAGTCCGCCCGCCCTGGACCACCGCCGGGCTGCCGCCCCCGGCTCCTCGGCGGGCTCCCGCTCGAACCTGGCTCCCACAGAGGCCCCCCGCTCCAGAGACACAAGGCTGCGGCCGGCGCCCCGGAGCACCCCCCGGGACCCCCGGCTTAGCCAGGCCGGCAGCATGGCCGGGCGTGGAGAGACCGCGGAAGTCTCCTCAGCGGCCTGAGGAGGAGCGGCAGCAGCAGGAATAAGCGCAGGAGAGCCGCTTCTCCATGAAGGCGAGTCCTCGGTCGCCCTCACGACCCACTAGCGCCACGGCAAGGCCGCGTCCCCGGGCACGGACAGCGGCATGCTTGTCTTCAAACGACCAGCCGCCTCCGCCCCCGTCCAGGTGGCCTCAAGGGTGGTCAGGGGCGGGCCCTTTCACGACACTTTTACGACAGCGCGGTGCCTTCCCCGCTACTTACCCGGACCGGGTCCGTTAGTGAGGGCTGCGGGGGCCGTTACGGTGCTGCCTACCGCCGCTCGGCGCGTGGACTCTGGCGGGGAACTGGCGCGAGGCGGCTGACGCCAAGGGCCGGGCGCGCGGGCCACGAGGGGAGCCCCGGAGGCGACGAGAGAGGGAACCGTGGTGTGGAGAAGAAGCGGTCACATTCCATCGGGGAGCGGAGCGGGGTGGGGGGGGGACACGACGTGGGCCCACGGGTTGGGCGGGGAGACAACGAGCTTGCGCCCCGCAGCCTCGGTCTGCTTCTTCCGACCAGGCATTGGCATCACGAACACCCCCTCCTTCCGCTGCCTCCTTGGGAATGTCTGCCGCGCTCCCAGGCTCAGAACCAGGGTTTAAAGCCTGCGGGCGCCCGTCCCGCTCCTACCTGGGGAGGACAGGTGGTGGACTGGAGGAGGCCACGCCCTCCCCCCTTCCTTAGAGCTCTGGCCGGCCTAGAAGCGCGGCGTCTGTCGGCCCTGGAAAGGGAAGGCGGAAGGTCGATGTCAAAGGTGGGCTTGTTTCCAGTGTAGGACTAGAGGTATGCTGACGGCATGTTTGCTTAGCACAGTGCCAGCCACACTGCTGGTGCTCGTTAAATGCGTGTTGCCTTGTTTGGAACCGTTTGGGTGAGTTGGGTGTTTTAGCATATTAAACTGGCATCAAAAACTTGGGCAGAAAAGACTATGCTTCGTAGGCAGCACCCGATTATAACGGGGAGGGATTTGTCTTATTTATGCCAGAACTATACGCAAACAGGGAACAGCAGTGAAAATAGGCTGTGAATACGCTTGGCTAAAGTTTATCTTGTAGTGCATTAATTTCTTAGACAAAAAATGATTCTACAAAGTAAATCCTTCAATTTAAAATGAACCAATATAACATTGAGAAAGTGTTAGTAATTTGCAATATGGCCTTATTGTAATTAAAGTTGTTACTTTCTCTTACATAATAGACAAAAGTCTATGTACCTAAGACAAAAGTCAAAGGAGTCAGATTTTTAAGGCATTAAAGTGAACAACTAATACAGATTCAGAATTTGGAGACATTCTTTTAGCCCTCTCGTACCTTAACTAAAGTCACACTAGAATATTATTATTCTCTACTTAAGCATATCACTTGATACCTCTCCTTCCTTGCTGCACAAGTTGATGTAATCAGACTTCTTTCAGTATTATTTTACTAAAACTGCTTTCTCCGTAAGTTACCATTTCTCTCCTTATTGACAAATCCAGTGGCCCTGTCACTGTGATTACTCTTTCTCCCATTGCCACCTAAATATAAATATGCCCCAAAGCTCTGTCCTCACTGTGCTTCTTTACAGTCTCCTTAGGACATAGATTTTGTGGGAATTTATTTAGCTTAATTATTTGTTAGTGCAGGGAAGGACCCCACATGTAAGGAGAAGCCTGTCATTTTGTGTGGCTGAAGGGAGGCAGAGTAGACATCTCCAGCCTTTTCTCTCCCTCCTCCCACCCCCTTCTCCAAGAAAGGTTTTCATTCTTGTCCTGAGGGGAAGCTAGAGACTGTTCTTCTCTCCTCTGAGAGGAGTGGTACTGGGCTAGAAGTATTATCTATATGCTCCCTTAAATGTTAGAAGATATGATTAGGTTCAATTTAACTTCAGATAGCTTTATTATTTTTTGGGGGGGGTGAGGCAATTGCAGTTAAGTAACTTGCCCAGGGTCACACAGCCAATAAGTGTCAAGTGTCTGGTTTGAGGCCGGATTTGAACTCAGGTTCTTCTGATTCCAGGCCTGGCGCTCTATACACTACGCCATCTAACTGCCCCAGCTTTGTTATTTCTGAGGAGAAGGGGGATGCTGCCCCCAACCCAAGTTCTGTATCCAGGGCTTTAGCTCCTTTACTACCAAATACCTATTCCACAGTTAACACACATTTATCCAAATCACAGTAAAATAGAACTCAGAGAAGGTATACATAAGAGAATGTATGCCAGACAATACAGAGTGAAGGAGCTCTTTCGTTAAGAGCAGTATAACTCCGATCAATCAAGAGAGAGTTTCCTAGATCCCAACCAAGGGGAAACTCCCTGAGTCTTTAGTGTAATCAAGCTGGGAATAGGTATATATAATGGAGACTGCCAGCTCTACTCATGTCTTCCCAGAATCTTTTCCTTCAGCAACTTGAAGTGAGGTTGGCCTCTTCCATCTTCTCTTTTGAAGCTGGAAACCAGAAACGCCCAAAAGACTCCACCCTGAAGAAGACTAAAACTCAATGAATCCTCAGGGGGTACTGATGAAGACTGAAGCTCTCTTGCTTCTGGAGCAGGGCTGAGTATTCATCTCCACCAATAACCCATACTGATGGTTTTTGGGGCAGGGGTTACATTAGAAATATTTTTACTTTCCCCCCCCTCAATTGGGGATAGAGTGAGCAAGGGGAGGGAGCTAGGATAGGATTGTAAAAAGAACAAAAAAAGGTCATTGGAACATTTTTTGAAATAGACAAAAACAAGGCCAGAAGGAATCACATAAGCAGGACAGCTTGGAAAGTAACATGTTAAATTTATTATATACTTAAAAAGAAAAGCAAGCTGTCCAATATTTGCTGGCATCTATATAGTGCTTTAAGATTTGCAAAGCACTTTGTTATTTCATTTGAGTACCTAAAAGAGATTTATAATTTCATGCAAAATAATTAGATTGGATTCTAGCTGGTAAAGAGATCAGGTGTTTTTCATCTCATGTGGTTTCTGTGATCTTTTGGTTTTTTCAGTGTGATTGCTTTGCCTCACATCTGCTGCCATAATTTCAGTACTGAATGAATGATTCCAAAATCTGTATCTCAAGCCTCAATCTCTCTCTCGACCTTCCAACTGTCCACAGGACATCTGACACCTAAACTCAATCTATAAAAAAGCATACTTATGTTTTTCCCACAGTCACTTACACCACTCCAGTCTCTATTAGTGATAACCACTATTCCCTGAGTTGCCTAGGTTCAAAATCTCATTTAAGGCAACTCTATAATCAAATTCTTTAACTAAGGAGTTATCCAAGTCCTTTTGATACTGGTCTTGTATCCATCCACTCTTTGTTATTCCCTCTGCCTCGAACCTGATTCTGACTCTTATTACCTAAATCTAGATGTTTCAATTACCACTTAACCTTTATGCTATGCATATTTTGTATTATTCCATTACATATCATACTCTTTGCTCCAGCCAGACTGAACTTGTTATTCTTTATTCATACTGCTCTTTGATTTCCATACATTTGCATAAGCCTGCCCTGGTGCCTGGAATGGACCTCTCCTCACGTGTCCTGTGAAGTACTCATCTTTCAAAGCCTAGTTCAGGTATGCTATTTTCCTCCACAAAACCTTTCTTTATCCTTCCAGCTTAAATATTCATGCTCTCAAATATCTTATGCTGCTATTAACCTCTCTCAAAATATTATTTATATTCTAACTTTTGTATGTTTCATTCCTTCCCTATTCTCATACCCCCCCTTCTCCCTTTCATAAACTCCTTTGAGGACAAGGGTATAGTCCTTTTCTTTTTATACCTTTTTGCTTATTTCTTAGACACGATACTCTGTTTCACTTCTCTGTGCCTTTGCACTGGCTGTCTCCCAAGTCTGGAATGCTCTATTTTCTCTTTAAAATCCCTGGATTCAAAACTGAGCTCAAATGTCACTTTTTGCAGGAGGCCCTTCCCTATTCCAGCTAAGCTCTCTTAAGTTTACCTTCCACCTACCCTATGGGTAAAATGTATCTATCTATTTATATGCTGTCTACCTCTGAGACAGCTTGGGATAGAACTGGCCTTAAACATAGGAAGAACTGAATTAAAATTCCATCTCTGACTCATCCCTGACTGATATGGGCAGGTCATTCAATGTTCCAGTAATCTGAGTTGCAGAGAAGATGTCTTGGTGAAAGGAATGTCCTCATCTGGAAGTCTGCTATAACAAGGAAATCACAGGTCCAGTCTTTATATTCCCCCATTAGACTATAGGCTCCTTGCAAGCAGATATTGTTTCCCCAAGCACAGAGCTTGGTACATAGCAAGTTCCTTTAGAAAAAAGTTTGTATTTATAACTTTTTGGGAGGGGGGCAGTTGGGGTTCAAGTGACTTGCCCAGGGTCACACAGCTAACCAGTGTCAAGTGTTTGGTCTGAGGTTGGATTTGACCTCAGGGCTGGTGCTCTATCCACTGTGCCACTTAGCTGCCCCTAACTTCTTTTTTTAATATCACCATCATTTCAACCTAAGGAGCCTCATGAGTGCAATAGGTAGAGAGAGAGAGACACACACACACACACACAGAGCCATCAGTCTCATAATCTGAATATATGAGTTCAGTCCTCCCATGAGGTATCTGCAATTATGTTTGGGCAGCTAGGTGGCACATTGGATAAACACAGGGCCTGGAGTCAGGAAGACTCAAGTTCAAATGCAGCCTCAGAAAAAGCTGTGTGATCCTGGACAAGTCACTTAACCCTGTTTGCCTTAGTTTCCTAATCTGTAAAATGAGCTGGAGAATGGCAAACCATTCTAATATCTTTACCAAGAAAACCCCAAATGGGGTTAAAAGGAGTCAGCCAAAACTGAAATGGCTGAATGACAATTTCACCCAGTGTCCCTCTGCCTTCCCTTCTTAGAGAGCCATTTTATATAATAGTGCTTATAATTTTGTAGCATTCACTTTTGTCTTTTTTTATGGTTCTTTCCATTTACATGGTTGTGGTCACTGTGTGTTTTCTTGGCTGTACTCACTTCACTTAGCATCAGTTCATGTAGATCTTTCTGTGCTTCTCTGTATTAATCATTTCTTATAGCAGAGTTAATATTCCATTATGTTCATGTATCACTATTTGTTTAGCCATTCCCCAATTGATGGGAATCTACTTTGTTTCCAATACTTTGCTATTGTACAAATTGCTGCTACAAAGAATTTTGTGTATATAGAAACTTTCTTATTAATTGCTTCCTTGGGGTATGAGCCTAGTAATGGTCTCTCTGGGTCAAAGAGTATGGACATTTCATTTACTTTATTTGTGTAATTCACAATTGCCTCTCAAAATTATTGTACTGATTCATAGGTCCACCAGCAACGTACTAGTGTGTCCATCTTCCCATAACCCCTCCAACATTAACTTTTCTCACCTTTGTCAATTTGCAGTGTATGAAGTGAAACCTCAGGCTTATTTTGACTTTCATATCTCTTATTGGTGATGTGGACATTCTTTCATATGACAGTAGTTTGCAGTTCTTTTGAGAAGTGTTTGTTCACATCATTTAACTATTGGAGAATGACTTGGTATGTATGTACACGCACACATATAAATAAATATATGTACATGTGTGCATATATATAAAATGTGTATATATAAAAGATATACGTATATGTGTGTATATATAAGTTAATTATGTATCTTATGTACCAACCCTTATCAGAGAAATCTGATAAGATTTTTTCCCATTTGGTGACTTTCCTTTTTATCCTAAATATATTGATTTTGTTTGTGTGGAACACTTTTATATAATCACCATTATATTTTATTTTCTGTAATTGGCTGTCTCGTTTGGTTAAGAGTACATCTACCCATAGCTCTGAGGGATATGTGATACATAGTAAGCTCTTAATAAATGCTTATTTATTGATTGGATGGTCTGATAGCACATCTTCTGTTTTCATGTTCCATAAATATTTATAATAGTTGTTTCCTCTCCACTATGTTCAGGTAGCTGGAGCTAAGAGAAGCCAAAATGAGCAATTTAATGGACCAGGTGTTTTTCAGGGATGTTTGAAACATTAATATCTCAGACACATATCAAAATATAATTTATCAAAGGAGGAAACAGACAAAATTACTATTATGCCACTAATGTAAACCAGGAGTCAAGACAGTTATTAAATAATCTTATTGTATTCAAAAGGAAGAAAATCTTATTAGATCCCCATTTAAAAAATATATACTTAGGTAAGATAATGGGCAGAGGGAAATACTTCTTTCTATTTTTTTCCTTTTTATGCCATCTCAGGAGTTGCCTTTAACCATTTTTTTTTTCAATTCCTTTTTAGGTAGGTGTTTTTTTTCAATGTCAATAAATACTCATTTAAAATCTTTATAACTTTTCAGTCTGAGGTTCAAATGTGGGTTGCTTTCTTTATCTAGATCAAAGACTCTTAACTTGGGGTCTATGGACCCTCTCAAGGAATCTGTGGATAGATTTCAGGGGGGTCTATGATTATAAGTGGGGGAAAATATTACATCTTTTAAAACAAATCTAACTTCTGCCTGAAAATTTAGCACTTATTTAATTTATTTGAAAACATTTTGAGATGGGGTCCATGGGTTTCACAAGACTGCCAAAGTGGGGTCCATTATACAAAGATAAGGAATCCCAGCTCTAGCTTTTTTATTTTGTGGACTGTCTTGGCTTTTCATATTTGCCTTGTCAGTCTTTTCCATGCTGCTGATCTCTTTATATCATTTTTATCTCTTGAGGGTGTTCCTAACCTTTTTTGCATTATGGACCACTATAATAGTCTGGTAAAGCCCATGGACTCCTCAGAATAATTTTTTTTAAAAGCATGAAATAAAATGCATACAATCCAAAGGAAACCAATTACTTTTAAATATCATTATCAAAATATTACAAAGGTTCAAGGACCCCTGGTTAAGATCTCCTGATCTAGTCTAATATTCTTATTTTACAGATGAAGAAATTGAGTCCTAAAGGTGATTTTCTCAAAGTCACACAAATAATAAGTGGCAGAGCCAGAACTTGCATTCATGTCCTCTGGCTCCAAATCCAAAGGTTGCTGTTATGCATACAGCATTATCAAATTTTTTCTTATTGAGTTGTACTATACAAATTGAAGAGAAAAACAAAATGGCTCAAAGATATAAAAAATACGGCCAATAACTTGCGACATTACAAATTTTAAAATAGTGTTGTTTATAAAATATGAAGGGTGTATTTTGTACTTTGAGCTTAAAGGCCTAACAGCAAAATAAGTGACTAAACCGCAATAGACTAAAAAGTTACAGCTTTTCCCAGCCCCCAAGGACATCAACAATGGACGGTCCTTGATTCCTCAAAACTTGGTGGAAAATGCTAGTTAATAAACGAACAGAATGGGTTGTTATGGACTGAAGGAAGGAGAAAATACAGAAAACATGGAAGAATCACAATTCCAATTTTAGCACATTACGACAGAACAATAAACCAAAACATTTATAGAAGCACATAGCGAGGGAATGTAAACATTTTATAATTTTAATATGTTTCTGAATCATGATGTGTAAGACCATCTCATAAACACTGAATGCATTAGCTACTGTCCCCAAGCTTGTAGGGGCACACACATAGGAAAAAAGATGATTTAAGCTGATGACAAATTTTGTATTTTTCTAGTAAAAATGCATAGGCTTTCCTTTTCATAGTCTTATTTTTGTTGATCTTTTGTTTTTACATTCCTGTATTTCCCAGACTATGTTCCCCTATTCCTTAACTAGCAATGCCTCTCTTATAACAAAGAGGTAAAAAGGGGGGGAAAGTTTGGCAAATCTAACCAGTCTGTCAAGGATGTCTGACAACATATAGGTGTATAGGTGGTTCAGCAGATAGAGTGCTGGACTTGGAATCAGGAAGACCAAAGTTGAAATTCAGTTTCAGATTCTTAAGAGCTATGTGACCTTGACACAAGTAACTTAATGTCTTTCAGTCTCTGTTTCTTCATAGGTAAAATGGGAATAATAGCACCTCTTTCAGGGTTGTAGTAAGGATCAAATGAAAGTGCTTCGCAAGTGTAAAGTGTAATATGCATGTATATATATATATATGAATATATACGTGTAGTGATTTGCAATCTTTAAATTGCTATATAAATATCAGTTACTATTATATGAACTATTCCACACCTATAGTCCCTACCTTTATAAAATGATGTATACATTGACTATACCAGCATAAACGAAAAGAACAAAAAGGAATTGAACACTATATAATTATAATGAACAAGCTTGGCCACAGAGAATAGTTGAGAAATTTTACAGACCTAATCTTCACCTTTTCTTCCATCACCTTTTTAAAATCAGTTACTTAAAAGGTGGTAAAATGCACTGAGTATCCCCACCTTTCCCATTTATATACCTGCAGGTGGAATTGTTAAGGAACTAGAGATTGAGAGCCAAACCCAAGCGGAAAGAAAGTAGAGGAAACAAGCGTTCTGACTAATTAGCCCTGAATAATCAACAATTAATTACAAGAAGTGCTATCCAATAAGGACTTAACATTAAATGCTACTGAGTTTGGAAAGTACTAGAAAAAAGAAAGAAAAAAAATGTAGGTTTTGGGGCAGCTAGGTGGCACAGTGGATAGAGCATCGGCCCTGAAGTCAGGAGGACCCGAGTTCAAATCCGGCCTCAGACCAAACACTTGACACTAGCTGTGTGACCCTGGGCAAGTCACTTAACCCCAATTGCCTAAAAAAAAAATTGTAGGAAACTGCTAGAAAGACAACTGTAGGGAGGACAGAAATTGGTTGCTAGGGGAAAGTAGAGCAGACATCAGTAGCAACACCCAGTAGCTTTTTGAGGTGTTTGGCATAAACCAGGGACCCAAAAGGGATTGGAAAGTATCTCATACCTAGCCCCTTAGGTTGTAGTCCTTTCTAGGCTGAAAGGTGATTACTACCTCTCCAGGGCTAAGTATAGACATTTCTGTCTCTCCATCACTACTCCCCAGCTTCTGCTACTTGAACTAAGAGATTCTTCCACTTTCTGACCATAACTCAAATAGTGTTTATACTGAGGGAGTTTTAGTGGCAACATAGAACTTCAGTTCAAAAGGCAGACAAATATTTAGGGACTTCTGTAAGCAATTGGGCTGGGTATGAAATAACTAAATAGGCCCTGAAGGCTGTGATCTAAAAGAACAGACTCCTTCCTACTGTCAGAAAAGGCTATACCAGGTCAAAACTACAGTGCCTAACACATAAACACACTTTAAAGTTGGTTGTGGAATTGAACTTCTTCCAATTCATATTCCTAGTCAGAATAACTGAATCGTACTTTACCACATAATGTTTTAAACCTTTGTCATAATTTGGTTTCTAAATTGTTCCATATTCATAATATGCATACTACCATTTATTTCTGATATGCATTCATTTCTGTTTTAGGACAAAATCTCCTCCCCAAAGCCCCCTTTTCCAAAAATACTTCCTTGAAAAAATAATTTTGCCCAAAAGTGGCTAGGTGTATGTATGAAAGGTTTGGTGTGGACCTTCTTGTGATGTATGGGAAATAGTTCTGAGCAACCAAGGACAGTTTTAAATTTCATCCAGATCTGAAAGGTAGTGTGTAAATCTATCTTCCAGGTGCACAGTTTTTTCCCTACCCACAAATTACTCAGTAATTAATTAAGGGTGTGGAGGTGTTTTCATTAATTTCCATATTCGGTATCTAGGGTTCCCCTTATAGATGGGTCTCTTGAAAACTACCCCAAATTTGAGGCATGTCACTTCTGTAGATAACTCTAAAACCAGAATGGGTTTGAACTTAATACCCGGAATCAATCTAGGCATTTTCAGTCTGGACACCCTCTGGTGGTCAAGTGGAGATACTGCAGCTTTTCAGAAGGTTCTACTGAAATCTGAAGAATTAAGTGATCTGCTTGCCCAAGAAGAGTGCTACCTCTGGGCAATTGAGACATTCTCTTTGTGAATAATTAACATAGTAACATACTACCATTTATGTAGGTTTAAGTTAGCCCATGAGCCTATTATTAGGCTTGCTTACACTACTTTAGGTACCCATATTAGAGAACAAGGTACATAGATATCACAATAGATCTTGCAATCTTTAAGAATCATATATCACTATTAACAGGAGGCAGCTAGGTGGCCCAGTGGATAGAATGCTGGGCCTGGAGTCAGAAAGAACTGAGTTCAAATGCTGCCTCAAACATTTACTAGCTTCCTGACCCTGGGCAAATCACTTAACCTCTGTTTGCTTTAATCCACTGGAGAAGGAAATGACAAACCACTTCAGTATCTTTTCCAAGAAAACCCCGTGGACAGCATTGATGTGCTATGGTCCATGGGGTCACAAAGAGTTGGACATGGCTGAACAACAAATTAACAGGAGAGCTTTGACGTAGGTGGGACTCTGCTGGGTCACAATTAGCCATTTACCCCCAATTGGACCCCAGCTCCCTATAGGAAGCCTCATATAAATAGCATTTATTAAGCACTTAATTAGTGCCAAGCAATGTGCTAAGTTCTGAGAATGCAAACAGAAAAATCTAGAGTCTCTGCTCTCAAGGAGTTTATACACTAAGTGAGGGAGACAACACATAAAAGATTTCATCAGCAAGTTGGATGGAAAGGTCTGAAAGTCCTAAGGATAGGTCAGATATAGAGCCTGGGGGTCTGAAGGCAACAGAGAAAGTGCAGTTGGCAAGGTCCAGAGGACCTTAGGATGCAGTGACAAGGCAGATGATAAGGCCTGATGGTCCTCCATCTCATCAGGGTTGTTGACTCCCATTTAATCCAAGTGGTGTGATCAGCTTTTTCTGACTTCTGACTATCAGCCCTGGTAGGGTCTGTGGGAGAAAGCAAAATGAAGGGATAGAAAAGGATAATGTGGGAGTCCAAGTAGGCTTTCTGGTTTTCCAGGGGAGCTCTGCTAAGAGTTAACCTAAATCCAAGTTTCTCATCTTTTAAATTTACTTTTCCTAGAGCTAGTGCCGCCAACTAATTCAAGATGAAAGTTAAAATCAGCTCATCCACACCTTCTCCAATACTCCCCTGCTGTTTGGTTAATGCATGTATAACACTGCTTTTGAGTTCACTCCCCCCAACTTGTACTGGCATAGGCATGTTAGAGGTCCCTAGAGGTGTGACCACACCTTCTGATTCTGTGGTTAACTCTGTGGCTCAGAAGCCTCCACCAGTCTCCACCTGTGTGCTTCCTATTGACAATCGGTCAATAGGCTTTTCTAATATCTTAGAAAAGACATTAACAGAAATGACATAACAATTAAAAAAACAGCTAGTATTTATCACTTGAAGATTTGCAGATTGCTTTACAAATGTCATTTTATCCTCACAGCAACCTTGGGAAGTAGATACTATATACAGGATAAATACGAAAAAATTAACAGAGGGAAGGCACTAGAATTAAGAGTGGTTGAGGAAGGCTTCCTGTAGGAGTGATTTGAATTGGGACTTAAAGGAAGCCAGGGAGGTCGGCAGTCAAAGCAGAAGAGGCATAGCATTCCAGGTATGAGGGACAAATAGGATGCCTGGAGCTGAGAGAGAGTGTTCCATTAGTGGAATCAGTGTCACTGGATTGAAGAGCTATGTGTTAGGGAATAAGGTGTAAGAAGACTGGAAAGGTAGGAGGAGACTAGATTATGAAGGGCTTTGAATGCCAAATAGAGCATTTTGTATTTGCTTCTGGAGGTAACAGGAAGCCACTGGAATTTATTAAGTAGGGGGTGTGACATAGTCAGATCTGCATTTTAGGAAAATCTCTTTGGTGGCTGAAAGGAGAATGGATTGGAATAGGCAGACACCTGAGGCAGGCAGATCCATCATCCCAACTACTGCAGTATTCCAAGTGTGAGATTATGAGGGCTGGCATCAGGGTAGTGACAGTGGCAGGAGAGAAGGGGACATATTCAAGAGATGTTGCAAGGTAAAACTGACAGGCCTTGACAACAGCTTGGATCTGGGGGTAAGAGATAGTGAAGAATCCAAGATGGCCCCTAAACTGTGAACCTGAGGGACTGGGAAGATGGTACTGCCTTCTACAGTAACAGGGATGATGGGGGGTGGAGGGAAAATTTAGGGGCAAAATTAATGAGTTGTTTTGAACATGTTGAGTTTAAGATGCCCACAGTTTGAGATGTCTGAAAGGCAGTTGAGGTCAGCAGAGAGACTGGGGCAGGAAAGGTAGAATTGAGAATCATCAGCATAGAGATGGGAGGAAAATGAGAGAAGAGAGTACAAGGAGAGAGTGATCAAGTGTCAAAGGCCTCAGAGAAGTCAGAGAACATGAGGAGATCGAGAAAAGGCCATTGGATCTGGCAACTAAGAGACCATTAGTAACTTTGGAGAGACCAGTTTTGGTGGAATGATAGGGCTAGAAGCCAGATTGTAAGGGGTTAAGAAGAGAGTGAAAGGAGAGAAAGTGGAGGCACCTATTGTAGATGGCTTTTCCCAGGAGTTCAGCTACAAAATGCAGAAGAGAGAGAGAATGATGGTGGAGAAAGAAGGATCAAGTAAGGGTGTTTTTTGTTTGTTTTGTTTTTGTTTTTAGGATGAGAGAGATATGGATATGCTTGTAGGCAGTAGGAATATGAGCCAGTAGAGAGGGGGACTGAAAATAAGTGAAAGAGTGGGGATGACAGAAAAGTATAAATTTGTTGGAGGAAATAGTATGGAATGAGGTTGTTTGAATAAGTAGAGGGGTTAATCTTGGTAAGATAAGGCCATTTCATCACGTGAGAATGGTGAAGAAAGTAACAGAAGGCACCTAAGTGACAGATGAGGAGGAAGTTCATGGTAAATGGCCTCAATTTTTTCTGTAAAATATGAGGCACAATTCTCACCTGAGAGTGGGAGGAAGAGAAGCCATGGGAGGTTTGAGGAGGGATGAAAATATTTGGAAGAGCTGTTGTAGAAAATAGGATAGTGAGTTGATAAGGGAGGCATAGTAGGATTGCCTAGCCAACAGTGAGGGCTCAAATGAGGTTGTGTAACATAAACGTTGGGCAGCTGTGTGGCTCAGTAGATAGAATGTTGGGCATCAGGAGTCAGGAATACCCAAGTTCAAATCCAGCCTCAGACACTAGCTGTGTGACCCTGGGCAAGTCCCTTAACCTCTCTTTACTTTAATCCTCTGGAGAAGGAATGGCAAATCACTTTAGTATCTTTACCAAGAAAATCCCATAAGGGATCATAGAGTCAGACATAACTGAACGACTGAACAACAACATAAACTTGTAGTAAACCCAGTCAAAACATTTGCATGCTTTTCTCTACCTTCATTCAGCCACACCTGTGTAGGGAAGAAAGCAATGAATGGTAGGAGTGATCTAAGGCTGAGGCTTGGCTGGGCATAATTGGCAATATAAGGGAGCTGGAGATCGAAGAGAGGACAGTGCAAAGTTGAATTGGTTCACTAAGGGGTTGAGATGGGGAAAAGAGAGTGGCTAGTACAGGGGAGATGGACTGGGAAAGAATTGAGAAGTAAGGGGACTGGAGGTCAAAGTACAGATGAAGAAGAGGGTTAAGTAAAGGAAGGCAAAGGGAGAGGTGAAAAGCCAGTACATAATGATTATATGTGGGTTTTCACAATTTTTGATCCTAAGAGTTGGTCCATTTTGTGGGTGATGGTAAAATCGAGGGTCTGTGGATCTTTGTGGATGAGGTAGGGTGGAGGAAGAGCTCATTAGAGGTGAGTACATTGAGGAACTGAGTAGTTAGGGTATTTGAGGGAGAATCAATATGAATATTGAATTCCATCTAGTATGAGAGTAGGAGTTGACAATGAGAGGAAATTATAAACCAAGAATAAAACTCATTGAGGAAAGAAGGGGTGTGAACTGGGAGGTGCGGGGTAGGAATGATCTGTAGACAATAGCCACCAGGATTTTGTTTGATAGATACAAATATTTGTTTGGTAGATATCAATAGCATGAACCTCAAAGGAAGAGAGTTTACTGAGTGATGGAGGAAGAGGGAGAACCTGGAAGTAACGATGAGGAGAAAGGAACATTCCAACTTCTCTTCCTCGGCCAGTGAGAAGAATGAGTGAAGGTGCTGCCAATGCTGGAAAGGGTGGCCAGGGAGGCTGTGTAGGGGAAAGCCATGTTTTAGTAAGAGCTAGTAGATGGAGTGGGTGAGGAAAAGATTTAATATGAAGAGAAATTTGTTGCCTGTGGAACATGCATTCCAGAGGGCACAGTGAAGGGATGGGTGGAATTAAGATGAAACTTTGGGGCCATAGGGGGTATAAAACAGGGTTTGGCAGCAGTTTCTCAAAAAATTTCCAGGACAATGGCTTATTGACATTACGAAGGAGCAGTACCACAGTGCTTCCTCCAAATCACATATTTATTTTTAAGTAAAAAAAAAGGTTTTTAGAAAATAAAAAGGAATAGATCATTTTAGAATCAGTGATGAGAACAAAAACACAACCATTTTAGTCAGACAAAACTAATTAAACAAACAATAAATCTTTAGGTCTATCCTATTTATGAAATTTTAAAGAAAAACAAGCAGTCACATCCTTTTTATAGTGAATTCTCATTTTCTTAGTTAAATAGAAAAAGGAGTTACACATAAATTAAAAAATAAATATTTATTATAAAATTAAGTTTCAGTATCATCTATATCATTTATAGTAAGCAATAAAAATCTGACTCATTTTAATATTAATATTTTAAATTGAGAATTTTACACATGAAAACTACCTTTTGAAGAATTTAAAAATTTAAAGAATATACAATAGTTAATGTCAAGATGAAAAAATTACTTAAAAATTAAATTTATTTCCAATATTAATTTCTAAATTAGTAATATAAAATTTAAGAAAAAATGAGCTCCAATAAAAATCCGTACAATTTTTTGTTGGAACTATTTAAATAAGTATAAAAAAGTGAGATAGATTTCAGGTTTTTTCTGACCCTTAATAAGGAAAATGTAAAGAACTGTTGGCCTTTGGGGGAAAATGGAAAAATGAAAAAGAGGCTGCCTGCCATTAAAAAAGTTAAGTATTTAGTTTACCGTATCTACTATTTGGTCCTCTTTTCATGTGGCATTTCTGACTATAAAAATTTAAACTTTGTGCTTTATTTTAAGAAAATTATATGACTAATATTAACATAAATTCAGATATACTTTCTTCTACATTTCACACATAAAATTTTTTTTAAAGCAACTGTTGATGGTGAAACAAGCTATTACTGGGAAACTCACTTCACATAGTTTGAAGCTGGTAAACTTTTGGACCTTTTTTCAAGAGGTAGCCTTGGTCATTCAGTGAACTGATAAAATTTTCAAAGTCAGCAACCTGGAAGAAAAAAGAAAATTCTGTGTAAGCAAACTGTAAAACAAACTCAAATTCTTAGATTAATTATGCGTGAATACCTGTTCAGACCTATGATTTCATTGGTATAGGTAACTATAGCAGTGAAGATTCTCTCTACCAGTGCAGGCTGCATATGGATGGCATTTGCTATTTCTAGCCTTAGATAGTTGCCTGGGTCACTGAAAGGAAATGACTTGCCCAGGGACATAAAGCCAGCATATAACAGAGGCAGGACTCACTCCAAATCTGAAGCACTGGAGGGTTTGACCTTGGAGAAGGCAAGTGAGAAAAGAGGTCTTATTAAAGAACACTTTAACTAGGAAAGATGTATGTGTTTGTGTTGGAAGATGGGTGGATTTCATGATGATGGATTTAATCTGGGGAGAGACAGTACTATGGGAGAGCACCATCTCTGAGAAAGTGGTGTGCTTCCATGTGCATCACCCTAGCCCAGAAGAAGGGATGTGTGAGCTGGCACCCAGAATGGTGATGGTGACAAAGACTCAGAGATGATATGGCATAGCCAATGAGAGACAGACTGATCTTTATGAGGGCAGGAAATAGGCCTAAACAATTTGGGACACAGGTTACTGGCTAAAAAATATAAATGATACTAGTTAAAAAACAGAAATATGAACTAGTAGAACAGCTTAAATAGGGAAGAATCATAACTGAACTACAAAACCCAATCCCCAAAATGTTGGACAAAAGCCCAAACAAACAAGAATTGCTAGGAAAATTGGAAAGCAGTTAGGCAAAAATTAGGTTTAGGTCAATACTTGATACCATCATGTTCCACAAAAAAAAATGTCAGAATGGATACATGAACAAATATTATGCCATAATGAAAGTTAAAAGGGAACCAAATCAGTTATACTTCATAAAAACAACTGGGGTTGAACGCTGTAAGTTTTTTTTTTTTAAATTCTGAACACCACAGCCCCCCACGCCTGAGTATTACCATATGTAAGCAGGGCACAAAAAGCCTGTAAATTTAATGTGAATCTCTATTTTAATTTGTTTTATTAAAAAAAATAATAAATTCAGCATGTTATTTTTTTATAATTGTCTTTGTTGTTACTTTCTCCTCAACTTCCTTCTGTGCATTTAAAGAAATGTTTGAATGGTCAAAGAAAGTTCCCACTTATACAACATAACATGTAAATATGTATTTATAGTAGCACTTCTGGAAGCAAATAACTGGAAACAAAGTAGGTGCTCATTGACTGGGGAATAGCTAATCAAATAATGGTACATACATGTAATGAAGTATTGCTATGTTGTAAGGAACAACGAACATGAAGAATACACAGGAATGTAAGAAGTGAAGTAGAACCAGGAAAAAATGTACACATATGCTTTCCTCCTTGGTTAATATGTTATTTAGTTTTATTGAACTTCTTTTTCCATTATCTTTTTTTCTTTGTTTTAAGGGATGACTCTGATTTGGGGAAGGGAAGAGATGTATTTGGAAATGAAAACGGAATCCATTAATAAAAAATTTTGAAAAGAAAATAAACCAAGAGAGTGAATAATTTTACTTTTGGTTCTTTATATTTTAGCATCCCAGGAGGCACAACATGCTCCCACCCATTCCCAAGGAACCTTCAAAGTAGAAAACAAATAATATAGAAATGCACTGTAGCTTGAAAGAAAGTTTCAAGTTTGGGATTTATGAAATTAAATAGGAAACAATAAAAACCTACTACAAATTTTAACTAACACTTTAATATACTCACTACAGTGACTTCCTTTAAAATTCCCTTATATGACTAAAAAATCATACTGGTAGATAACTTTGAGTGGAAAAACCTTTAAATTTATTTTCTTTCTTTATCCAGTTACTAGCTTTATGCAGTTCAATAATGCCTTACAAAGATGACCACCAAACAATAAACAGGAATACAAAACTTGAGAATATAACTCAGGAGGGATAAGAAATACTCAGTTTTATCCAAATATCAACAGAGCTTGTTGTATATTCTTGATTAAATATATCCTGATTTCAGTAGTAGACTGCTAACATTAAATTCTGTAGTAACTTACCTAATGTACATATTTTGTTTTGATGAACACTGGCTTACTTCTGCCTTGAGAGTGTGATGTAGTGCTTGGAGTCAGAGGTTTAAATCCCATGGTCTAAAACTTATTAGCTGTGTGACCCTGGGTCAGGTACCCTGTCAGAACCTCAGTTTGCTCGTTAGTGAAATGGGGATAATAACACCTGCAGTGCACCTACCTTTGCTTACCGTGAGGCTGAAGTGAAACATGTAAAATGGTTTGCAAATTTTAAAAGTGACTGATAAATATATTATTATGTAAAATATCTTAACACTAAGAAAGAATGGAGAAAGGGAGCCAGCCTGAGAGTCTTAGACACCTAGATGCAAGCACTGTCTCTGACCCTTGTTGTCTGTATGACCCTGGGCAAGTCTCTTAACATCTTAGTACCCCATTCAGTTTTCTAGGATTATAAATTCTGGAGAAAGTGCATTGGTAGAGCTTCCTACTGGGAGTTTCCTTTGCCAATGAAATAGGTCTGGTCCTTCCTACCCTTCACCCCCCACCAAAAGCACTCTGTAAACCTTAAATAAAAAAATATTACCTGAATGTTTAGCTCTTTAGAAATCTGTCGAAGTTGTTGATACTGAAATAAATTATTGTAAGTTCTTTCTGCAATGGTGTTGAGAGCAGAAATGAACCTTTTTGCTGCTGACCTGTTGCTCATTCCAGAGCCATGTTGAGAACGCTCAAAATCCAGATTGCCAAACTCATCTGAGTAAGTTCCTAGCATACTAAAACAAAAGAGATTTGGCAAATATGGTAGGGATAAAAAAAAATTAGTCATAAGCCTTTAGACTGTAAAAGACCACATCTTTAAAAAATGTTTATTCTGAAATTAGAAAATTTTTTAAAAATGAGCATTTCCATATACAAAATAAAACAGAAAGAGAGTTGTACATGAAACTATAAATCCTGAGTTTCCTTTCCAGTGTACATAATAATTTCAACAAGCAACCTTCAAGGTTTTCTTACTTCTCAGAGTTTCTCTCTGGCTTTCCCACTTTTATTCTCTGTGTTAAAAAAAGTTTCAATGGCCCTTTTTTTTTCTTGACAATTTATTGCTATTTATCCTTTCCTTCTAACCCCCACCCCCCAACTGAATTTAAAAAAAAAAAAGAAAATTACTGTAACAAAAGGTGAGGAATCTCAAGGGAAATAATGGAAAAAAGTAGGAAGAAAAGAAGTTTGGCAGTACCAGATCTCTCTGCTACAAAACATTAATCATGAAAAACAAAACAATTTGATACTGGTTAAGATATAGACTGCCTACTGGAATGGACTAGGTACACAAACATAAAGAAGCAAATGAATACAGCAGCTTGGTGTTTGATAAACCCAAAGATCCCAGTTAGTTGGGTAAGAATTCACTCTCTGAGAAAAACTGCTAGGAAAACTAGACAACAAATAAGGCAGAAAGTAAGTGTAGGGTGTCATCTCAGATTGCACACCAAAATAGGCCCCAAATGGATAGATGAATTAGACATAAAGGGTAACATACACAAATTAGAACAAAGAAGAAATTACCTTTTAGATCGATGTATAGAGGAACAGTGCATGATGAAACAAGGGATAGAAAGGTTCGCAGAAGATAAAGTAGACAATTTTGATTATATTTAAATGAAATTTTTACACCAACAAAATCAATGTAGCTTGAGTTAGAAAAGAAAAAAAAATTGGAAAAACATCTTTGCAGCAAGCTTCTCTGATGTATAAGGAACTGATTAAAATTTATAATAGGAGCAACTCCCCAACTGATAAATGGTCAAAGGGTATGAACAGATAGTTTTCAAAGTAAGACACCCAAGCTATCAAGAGCCATGTGAAAAAAGACTCTGAATCATTAATAATTAATGTAGATTAAAGCAACTCTGAAGTTCTATCTCATACCTGTCAGGGTGCCTAAGTTGACAAAATAAGGAACGTGGCCAAATGTTAGAGGGGCTTGGGGAAGATGAGCATGTTGGTTAACTGCTGGTGGAACTGTGACTTAGTCTAGCCATTCTGGAAAGTAATTTAGAAATATACCCCAAAAGTTACTAATATGCACATACACTTTGACCCTGTGATACTAGACAAGAAAAGGAAAAAAAAAAGAGGAAAAGGAGCCTATACGTACAAAATATTTATGGCAGCTCTTTTTGTAGTGGCAAAGAATTAGAAACTTGGAGTGTAACAAATTTAGAAATGGCTGAACAGGTTGTGATTTATGAATGTAACACTACTATGTTGTAAGAAATGATGAAGGGGATGATTTCAGAGAAATATGGGGAAGATTTATATGAATTAGTGCAGAGTGGAATGAGCAGAACCAGAACAACAATTTATACAATATTATTACAAACTTTGAAAGACTTAAGAACCCTGATCAATGGAATAATGAATCAGGATTCTAGAGGATCAGTGATAAAGTATGCTAACCACTGGGAGGTACCTGATAGAGATGACAGACTTAAGGTACTAAATGAGACATATTTTTTGACAAGGCCAGCCATGTCATCATTTCCTATTCAGCATCACTCCTCTGGACTTCTCCATCATACCTCAATACCGTACTTTCATTTTGCAAGATCACTTCAGCCCTGGAGCTTACATCTTGTTAGTACTCTCTGCCACTGGGGCCCCTCTCCATCCAGAACTTCCATTAAGAAGGGAGCTGGGGTTATCCACATCTTCATTTCCCACCTGGCTTCACTCTTCTGGATTTCTTCATCTTGCCCTGGGGCTGGGCACCTCCTCTCCAACTCTGCTTTTCTTCCTTCTTTTGTGTGTTGTCTTCCCCCGTTAGATTATAAACTCCTTGAGGGCAGGGACCATCTTTTGTCTTTCTTGGTCTTACGTACTTAGCATATAGTAGGCTCTCAATAAATGTTTATTGACTGACAATATTACTGAGGTGGCCAGTTCAGAAATTTGTTTCTCTTGACAATACATATTTGTTACAAGAGTTCAAAAGAGGAAGGAGAAAAAATAATTTTTGTCAATTGATAAAAATTATTTAAAAAAATCAATCCTTGACTGCTTTTAAAATTGTCACCTCTAGCATGGAACTCTTTACTATCCATTTGTCCTTCCTAACCTAATTTCTTCAGTGCCACTACCACTTAACTGACAGAGCACATTGGATATTGAGGTAATAGAATCCAAATTCCAGACTTGTTATGGTGATGAGAAAAGATCAGCATCTATGTTCCATTTCACATCTATTTATTATACTGAAGAGGTCTAGGGGTTTTGGGGTGCTGGGACCCCAAGATCGCGGTACCGGGCCCTGTCTGAAAGAATTCAACTCAAATCTTCTTCAGCCAGAGGGAAAGTTTATTGGTGGTAAAACATATAGGCCAGGTGACGCCTGTAAAGATGAGCAGGCATGAGAGGTTCTCAGCCTTGTGGGCCTGAGATTCTCAGCCGGGTGATGCCCATAAAGATGAGCGGGCATGAGAGGTTCTCAGCCTTTTGAGCGTGAGATTCTCATCCTCTGAATGAGGGCCAAGGTGGATCTTAAATACTAAAGCAACTTTGGGTGGCCAGAGAAGGGGGTTGGGTAAAGGGTGGAGGTAACAATTCTAATTGGGGAGGTCGGCAAGATTGAATACACAATGGGAATAGATAATGGAGGAACAGGAAGGCAGAAGTTTGAAAGGCATCTACACAAAATCAAGGTGGGGCTAGGACTTTCAAAAGGAGATAAAGGAAGGCCTTTCTGGGGCCTATAGACAAGAGGGAGCATAAGGCTTTTAGGGCGCATCTGAATAAAGATTAAAAGGTAAAGCTAAGGCTTTCAAAGGGAGATGAGGGTCTGGGGCCTGTGAGTCAGATTCCCTTTGAGGCAAAGGGTGAAGATCTTGGCTTCCGCCCGCCCTCATCAATACTGCTTTCCGTTTCATCCACAAATGCCAAAAGCATTTGATTTGAAAACTAATTTTTCCCTCAACTGTCTTTTGCCTTAGGTGACCACACACCTACCAATATGAAAGACACTGTGATAGGCATTGTTAATACAAAGACAAAAAAGAAAACAATCTCTGCCCTGAAGAAATTTACAGTTGCCCTTGGATACCATATCTCTTCATTTCAGCCTTCTCATTATGGTAACTTTGGCATAGAATCAATTTCACTAACAAGAGTGATAAAATACATTTTTAAAAACTTCTGTTCATTTCCCTTTTTTCAGACTTGACACAAAATTCCTATTTGAATGCTTTTTTTACAGCATGGAGGCAACCATGGCTCACTGAAGAATATGTTTGCAGAATGAAGGCTTTGCTAGATTTTACTAAGATGGAAAGGATTTGAGTATACATCTGTTAATAGAATGTTGTGTTTTAAAAAATATCCTAACTGTGCATCTGTCAATAAATAAATATTAAATACCTATTCTATGCCAGGAATTGTTTTAAATACTAAGGACACAAAGACAAAAATCACAAAAATGTAAAAGATTACATTCTTTGGGAAAGATTATATTGTATGTATATGTCACAGTATCTATAAAACATACAAAATACAGGATAGTGGTTTTGAGGGGAGACACTAGTAGCTGGGGCAGGGAGGAGGGGAAATCAGGAAAGGCCTCATATAGGAGGTAGTGTTTGAATTGATTTTTGGAGGAAACTAAGCATAATAAAGTACAGAGGTACAAACAAAGTGCATCATTCCAATCATGGCGAAATCCTGTATGACTGGACTATGTGTTGTAGAATAAGGCTATAATGGTAGTTTGGAGCCTGGCTGTGAAAGGTTTTAAATGCCAGACAAAGGAGTATATATATTTGATGACTGAAGAAAGAGGGAGCCACTGGAGTTGATGGAGCAAGGGAATACCATGGTCAAATCTGTGCATTAGGAATATTACTTTAGCTGCTGTGTGGAGAACAGACTGGCGAGGTCAGGAAGACCAATTATGAAACTACCACAGTAGCTAAATGAGAGGTGATAAAGGCCTGACCCAGGGTAGGGGAGAGAAGGGGACAGGTGTGATATATGTTTCAGAGGTTGACATGATTTAGCAAGTAATTAGATACATGGGGTGATGGAGAATAAGGTGTCCAGGATGACTCTGACAGTGCCAACCTGGTAACAAGATGGATGATGGTGCTCTTGACAGAAATACAGAGGTATAGAAGAGAGTTAGGTTTTTTGGGAGAAGATTATGAATTCTGTATGTATAGAGGAACTTACCACAGAAATGATAGCCACTATGTGATGAAATTTTTGGTTATGGTGACCCAAGAAGTAGTTAAAAATACAGACCAGAACTCAGTCTTGTGAAACCCCTTCAACTCCCGCAAAAATGATGGCAGAAAACAAGATAGAAGATACTAAGAATCATACAGTTCTTAGAATAGGTATAAATATTAATATGGCTGTTAGTATTTAATACACAAACTTTATCCAATAACTCACTAGTACCAATAATATTAGAAGAACAGAACTATATCCACATTGACATTCTTGCCACAAATGAAACTAAAAGAAATGAGGAAACTGATGCTAAATGGAATGATGTCTCATAGGTCTTCCTAGGATTAAGAAATGACTTGGCAGACTTGGGTTTTATCAGAAACAAAAAACAATATGGAGAGGCATTTGGTTATCTTGCTTTTCAAGGTTCATGATAAACACAAGTAATCAGTTCATCATGAAACAACTTTAGCCTAGATACTAATGAACAACTAATTGTAGAAGATAGTAGAAAAATCCTATGAAAAACTGGACCAGCACATTCAAATAAAGTTAATCTATACCTTGTTAACTTCAGTTTGTCAGGGCAGTGTTGACCAGGGGAACACCTCCCTTTCCACCCCTACCAAAAGAAAAATCTGTAGATCATAAGGCAAATGACCAAAAATAACATTTAAGTGAATACTGATGCCTTGGATGCTGTGAGAACTGATCTACTATACCCAGCAGCCAACCATATTTCTATTATGGGAACCACCATCATTCCAGTCTCCTATACCAGACCCTCCAAAGTCATCTTTGACTTTTCTGTTTCTTAAAGTCCCTACATTTGATTACTTCATAAAACAATGTTTTCATCTTGTCATACTAAAAGCTCATAATGGGTACAGGGATCATTATTAAAGGAATCTCTAGAGGCTTGAGAGAGTTAAGGATGACATTATAATGAACTTTTGAGATTATGATGGGAAACTTGGAAGTCTTATGCTTGTATATTATGAATGCTTTGCTTCAAAATGAGTCAGAAAAGCCATTGGGACATAGCAAGCACCAAACAATATCATAAAAGGGAAACTGATAACAAATGCACAAAGAGGAGATAACTGGTAAGTCATTTCAGAATCCACTCTTTGTGTGTAGTATGATCATTGACTGGGTTAGGGTTATAAAGAAAGGTTTAATTTCATGAGCTACTTTTGGAAGAGAGACTTCATCAGGAGGTAGTGACAGGCTTTCGTACCTCAGGAAAGTTAAGTTAAGGGTTGAAGTGGTAGTAGTATGCACCTTGATCAACTGAGTCTCGAAATCAAATAGTCTATTAAAAAAGATATGCTTGAGAGCATTAAGAATATTGCAGCCAAAGAGGTTAATGTTGTATCATCAATCACACCACTTCCCCTTTTGTGAAAACATCTCTGAGAGTTAGTTAATTGATTTCTAATAAGCTTTTGAGACAGAGGTAAATGAAACTAATTTAATTTACACTAATTAAGTCCAGAAGCATCTTGTCAGCCTACTGCTTCATAGTGAAATCTGTTCCAAAAAGATTTCTCAAGTTTTTGATCTTTTTATCAGGCCATCCAAGAATATCTATATGCCCTTTTTCCCCTTTTCTGAAGGCTCTTAATCATCCTATAGCTGCCTTGGGTGATGGTCCCTGTATTTCATAAATATTGTACAGATTTTTATTTGGATACTTAAGAATCCACTGTTATTCATTTACTGTTACAAAAGCAAATATTAAGACTGGCATTGCAAAGGTGTTAATTTCTCTAAAAGTATTCACTCACTGAACTCTGACTTCAGATGCTGCTAAGTCTTTCGATACAACACCACAGTTTTATTCTTTATGAGTTTATACTTGGTATGTCTTACCTGGAGAAAATCAAGCTATTCATAAGTAATTCCTTTGTCCTTTGTTCTATTTGAGCTCTGGATTCAAGCTCAAAGGTTTAGTTTATATTTTTCCTTGATGTAAATTTAAGAATTTCACACTTGAGTCCAAATGACATTTGAATATCATTGGAAAAAGCTTCCATGAAGAAGCTGTTTAATGTACCTTTCAGTGGAGTCACATACCTTAATGTCACTCATGTTTATCAACTAATTAATATAGTGTTTTGCTGAAATTTCTCTTTTATTTGACCATATTTAGTACTATTTAGTAGGGGTGATGGTGGTTTTAGGGCTATGCAGAACCATAATGGGCTTAAACTGTCTCCCTGCAAATGTCATATTTTGTATCAATTACTTCATTGTATAGATAGTATGTTTTAAATACAGAACAGTTTTCTTGTACACGTTGTTATTACTTTTATGAAAATCGTTTTCACAGAAATACGATGATTCAGTAGAAAAATCAGGTATACATAAATTAATGTTCTGATGACAACAAAATGTCATTATTTCATTTAACATCATTTCTTAGCTTAATTTAAAATTAGAATCTTACCTGTACTTCATAATTTCAACTATGTCTTCTGCATCTTCTTTGGTTGCTTTCTCCCTTAATTCCAATCTTGTCCGAGCCTTCAACAAAATCCATAATATATTTTCAGTTTTGATAGGCAATACAAGTGAATATATTTGCCCCTCTTAGAATAATAGATTTAATCAGTAGAGTGGGTTATATTTTATGTTAAAGGTGTAACTCCAAACATATTTTAGCTTGTTATAGGCTGGGAACTGATCATCTCAAATAGTAGTATAGCAACAGTATGCCACTTCCACTGAAGTCCTACTTTGAGGCTTCATCACAGTGTGAAGATGACCTTGGCTTGTCAAAGGCAATGTAAGAGGAGTACAGCTGGTGGCCAGGTCTACTAAAGCGGAAAGGTTGTCAAGTATGAACACATGATGACTTCTAATGTTTCTTCTCAGTGGATCAGACTAGCTAAGATCAAAGAAGCTCATCAGAAGTGTTGACCAAGTAGATGATGAAATTTCCAGCCCCAGGAATCACAAAGATTGTCTGCTAAAGGTGTGGAAGTGTTCAGAACTATATCAAAGAAGGAGGTACTCACATGGATAAAGCCATGGACCCTTGAAGTACTTAAGTATGAAACCACCAAGGTAAAATATGTAAAATAATTTAAATATAATTACTTTGAAGTTAAATTCTTAGTTGTCTCCCTTGTGTTTTACTTAAAGCAACACCAGCCAACACAAGGCCCTAATTCTTAAAAATGATAAAGTGACTTTTTGATTATTTTAAGTATGAGCCTTCCGTTATCCATGCTAGAACTGTCACGTTTTAGAATAAAATACTGGACATTCTTAACCTGTAATTTTCATATATGTAACTTTTGGCAGTTTGGAATTCTAGGATACTTTATATCCTTTTCCCAGATACTCCAAAAGGAGATCATGGTCTGTCAAATCTTCAAAGAATGCTCTACAGTGAGTTAATAAGCGATCCTGCTGGCTAGAATGAACTGGCAGTAGTGGAAGACACAAAGAAACTGGTTCACCAGCATGGTATTTGTGTATGTTCAACAGATCCACTAAAGGACTTAGATCCTTTATTTTCTGATTGTATACTGCATGAAGTATCCAGGTGCCTGTTCATGAAAGACACCAAATCTGCTTTTAAAACTAATACAGTACAGCAAAACTGTAGTAAAACTGAAGAAATAAAAACTATTAAAATATTTACAACTGAAAATAACCTCTGTCAGACGAATTAGTGACTCCAACTGCCTTGTGGTAATTGGGGTACCATTTAATCGTTGAGTCTGTTTCCGAAGCTCAAGATAAAAATCTTGAAGAATTTGAGCAGCTTCTGGAGATAACTTTGGATGAACATACTGCCGAGAATATCCAACATACTTTCTCAATAAATGATGTGGAATTGGATCTAAGTTTTCTCCAGGAGAAACCTAAAGCAATGATTCAAGTATATGGATTACAGATATGTAGACAAAATAGAAAGATTACTTAAAAATAATTTATCAAATATTTAAAATGTCTAGATATTAAGTCTTATAATGGAGATCCTGACTCTCAAAATCTGTTTGAGTTTGATCGTTTTGGACAAAACTGATGCTGGCCCTAACCCTCACATAGTACATGAAGTAAAGGTATAGAACATAAGTGTATATAATATAAATGCAATATAAAAAAGAATACATTAATTTCTCACATCTAAACATGAACAGAAGAAAAAAACTGAGGAGAAAACATATTCATGAGGTAATGTCTAATGTCTACCTTTAGTCTTTCTGATAAAGGTTTGTCAGAAACGACTTCAAGCAAAGAGGTGTTTGAATCTTGACTGCTCATACGAGACACTGTGGCACTTGAAACTGTTTTCTTCTTTCCAGCTCTTATTGCCATCACATGTTCAGAAAGTAAATGGTCATAATCCTCATTTGGGGTATCCAGCAGGATAAATACCAAATCAAATCTAGATAACAGAGCACTCCCAATTCTAGAAGGTATATAAACAAAAAGAAACAAGAACCAGAAAATCTACAAAGCTGTTTCCCCAATTACTCAAAAATCCCAAGTAAAATTTAAGAAATAAAATTTTAAGTTCAATGTAAAGGTCAGCAATTCCTGGCATATAGGCCAATTAAATCTTCTTTTCCTTTCTGAAATGGGCATTACTTATTACTTCCTTCTCTTCTCCCCTCACCCCAATATCCCTTACTTATTACTACTTTGCATCCGACCTTAGGCTTGATACACCTTTTCTTGGAAGGACAAGTGGCCGCAACTCAAATACCACCTTTTACCACATCTTTTTCTGGCCCATCTCTTAATGGGTTGATGAGACAGCCCTTTACAGCACCATCAAAAGCATAGCTGAAGTCAAGATTTCAGTATTTGGAAAAAAAAAATCTAAATGAAATTGGTCACAAATGACGTCTACTAGAAGAAAACCTGCCATTTTATTGAGTCATTAACTGTTAATAAAGACTTACTTTAAATTTTCAGAAACAGTTTTGGCTTTATTATAGTGTCCCCCAACTGGGTTTGCTGCAGCAATAATTGAAGTTCTTGCTGGGAGGTTGCAGACAATGCCAGCTTTAGCAAGGCTAATGCTTTGCTGTTCCATAGCTTCTAGCAAGGCTTGATGCTGATTGCCCATCTTGTCAAATTCATCTATTCCACAAATACCTGCAATTAAAATAAAGTACTAGATTAAAGGAATAACTGTTATTGTTAAGCTAAATATAAGAAAAACTAATAAATATAAACATATAGCTAGATCACAATTTAAAAACAAATGCATAATCAATAACCTAGTACTTTACACTTAACACATTAAATCTAAGTAGTTCAAGTTGAAACATACCAGTATCTCTTTAAATATCTTTTTTTTTGCAATAAATGATCAACTAGTTTCTGGCAGTTTGAAGTATGAAAAATATAGTAAACATTACATCATGAAGAAATAGTTTTTTCCCCCATTAATTATTTTATTTTTAGTTCTCAACGTTCACTTTTATTAAAGATTTTGAGTTCTAAATTCCCCTCCCTTCCCAAAATGGCATGCAATATAATACAGGCTATTCATGTACAATCATATTAAACATATTTCCACATCATTCATGTTGTGAAAGAAGAATCAGAACAAAGTGGAAAAACCATGAGAAACAAAAAAAGAGCAAATAGTATGCTTCAATCTGCATTCAGACTCCATAGTTTTTTCTCTGGATGTAGATAGCATTTTCCATCATGAGTCTTTTGGAATTGTCTTAGATCATTATATTGCTCCGAAGACCTAAGTCTAACAAAGTTGGTCATTGCACAATTTTGCTGTTACTGTGTAAAAATGTTCTCCTGGTTCTGCTCACTTCACTTAGCATCAGTTAATGCAAGTCTTTCCAGGTTTTCCTGAAATCTGATTGCTCACCATTTCTTATAGCACAATAATATTCCATTACATTCATATACCACAACTTGTTCAGCCATTCCCCAATTGACAGGCATTCCCTTAATTTCCAACTCTTTGCCACCACAGAAAGAGCTGCTATAAATATTTTTGTATATGTGGGTCCTTTTCTCTTTTTTATGATCTCTTTGGGGTACAGACCTATAAGTGGTATTGCAGGGTCAAAGGGTATGCACAGTTTTATAGCCTTTTGGGCATATTTCCAAATTGCTCCCCAGAATGGTTGGATCAGTTCACAACTCCACCAACACATTAGTGTTCCAATTTTCCCACATCTTCTCCAACATTTATCATTTTCCTGTTTTGATGAGGAGAACTGTTGTCCCTGCTATAGCTAAACACAAATGTTACATAACACCAATATCACTCATAACAAACCACTTATTATACATTGTACCATTATAGAGTTCAATTTAAAAAGTGCTTAAAAGTCATCTAAATAAAATACCAAATAATTTGCTGGGTTTTTTAAAATTTATCAATTACAACATTTAATTTTCAGTACTGAATTTGGAGTCATAGGAGCTGGGTTCAAATACTAGACAACCTATTTAATACCTATGTGACCTTAACAAAATAATTTAACCCTTGGACTTCAGTTTCCTCCTCTGCAAGATGAGAAGGTAGTGGGCCTTAAAGGACTCTTCCAGTTCTAATATTGAATATTTATGATAAAACTGCAACTTCTAATATAAATGATTCTAGATGCTGATGATAAGTTAAATGTTTCTGGTAGTTAACACAGCATATCAGAAGTATCATAATATAGCATATATCATAAGTATCATAAGTGACACCCACACAAAATATTGCCCTCAAGGTTTTTATATGTAGCTATTCTGAAGAGTTTCTGTGAATAATTTTTATTTCAGAACTACTGAAGAAGTATGTACTGGGGACAGCACAATTTAGGTGATATTAAGGGATTATTTACAAGATAACTGAATTTTGAGAGCCAAAATGGTAGAGAAAAGGCAGGGACTTGCCTGAGCTCTCTGCCAAACCTCTCCAAATACCTTTAAATAATGGCTGAAAACAAATTCTAGAGACACAGAACCCATAAAAGGATAGAGTGAAACAATTTCCCAACCCAAGACAACTTAGAAGGTTGGCAGGAAGGTCTATTATACCAGGGTGAGAGTGGAGCACAGTCCAGCGCAGATCTGGCTCCAGCAAACCAGGAGCAGGCCTTGGGGGGTGGCTAAATCAGTGGCAGCAGTGGCAAGTTTCTGGACTTCTCAGTCTAGAAAGTAATGGGGTTGAACAATTGGTCAGAAGGAGATTACTGGGGTCTCTTTGTTGGCACTGGGGGCAGGACTCTGTTGTTTTGCTCATACTCAGATCAGGGTCACAGTCCTGAGTCTCAGTCCCAGGATGAGGAGGAGCACTAGCACACCAAAGCTTGAAGCAGCAGGGCAGCAGGGACCCTGGGTCACCGTTCCAGAGTAGAAAACACTTGTGGTTGCTCACAGACCCAGCGCACAGTACAGGAAAGTAGTAAACACACCTTTCCCCTAGATCATACCACCTCGGAAGAACTGAAAACTTACAGGTCCCCAGAATTACCTGTGAAACCAGCTGTACAAATAAACCTGAAGCTTGGGACTGTGTCCCCTCCACTCTGGAAGCAGAGCCCCATTTTAGCAAAGAGTTAGAAATCAAGAAGTAGGCTGGAAAAAAAAAAGAATAATCCAAGAAAAACAGAAGATTAGGAAAAGAAAGTCAACCAACTGAAAAAGAAGATCCAGAATCTTAAGGAAGAAAACGACTCCTTGAAAATCAGAATTGGGCAAGGGGAAGCCAGCAAAGTTAAGAGACCAAGAAATAATAAAACAAAATATAAAGAATGAAAAAATAGAAGACAATGTGAAACATCTCATAAGAAAAACAACTATCTGGAGAAGAGATCAAGAAGACAAAATATAAAAATAATCAGATTACCTGAAAGCTATGATCAAAAAAAGAATCTTGATACAATAATACAAGAAATAATTAAACAAAATTGTCCTGAAGTGTTATAACAAGAGGGCAAAGTAGAAGCAGAAAAAAATCCACCAATAACCACCTGAAAGAGATCCCACAGGAATATCATAGTCAAATTCTGAAATCCCCAGTTCAAAGAGAAAATATGATGAGCAACAAGAAAAAAACAAGGCGGAGCCATATTTAGAATCACATAAGACCTAGCAGCAGCAACACTAACAGCAGGTCTTATAACATTATATATCAAAAAGCAAAAGAACTGGGGTTGCAGCTGAAAATATCATACCCAGCAAAGTTAAGCATAATCCCAAATAGAAAAAAATGGACATTTAACGATTTGCCAGACTTTCAGGATTTTATTGCAAAAAAAACCTGAACTTAATAGAAAATTTGACATACAAGATCCAAGAGAAATAGAAGGTACAAATCAAAGACTAATTACAAGGGACTCAGTAAGAACAGACTGTTTACTTTTTATGAAGAAATGTAAAACATATATCTAAGATTATTATTAGTAATTGGGTAATCTGAAAGAAAGATGGGGGAGAGGTGATTCTAAAAAGTAAAACAATTTAGGAAAAGGGAAAAAGGATAATTATCTTATATAAAGGAGGTGCAAAAAGAGGAACTGACAGGAATTAGAAGGGGGAGGAGGGCTGGTAGTTCTGCAACACTACTCTCACCAGGAATGGGTTAAAGAAAGAACAATACATAAATATCTATAAGAGTATAAAAGTCTCCTAAATTCAGAAAGAAAAGGCTAAGGGAATGGGGGGAGGGAAGAGGATAAGGGAGGGGTTTTTAGAGGGAACCATACTCACATGAGATCTGGGATAAAGAGAGAACATTTAGAAGGGAATAAAAATCTTCTAAATGTATAAAGAAATAAGAGAGTGAGGGAATAAGATAAGGGGGGGGTTGAAGGGATCTAGATTAATGGGAATGGGATAAAGAGGGAATAACATATTTGGAAGGCTATAAAGTTTTCTCAATTTAGATAAAAACAAGAGAATATGGTGAAAGAGTGCAGGGGAAAGGATAAGGGAGGAATCTTTGTGTGGGGTGGGGAGGATAAGGGGTAGGTTAAGTAATAGGAGGGGTAGAACTAAAGTAGAGGAATCAGGAGGGATAGGAAACAAGAGAGACATACAAACATAAAGATCAAAAGTAGAATTTATTAGGGAAAAAATCCAGGGGTAGTAATCATGAACTCAAAGTTAAAGGTAAAATTTAATCAACCACTATAGGTCAGCCATATTAATCAATATTGTTTTGGACTATTTAAAATAACTAGACAGTATAAGCTTAGAATATTGCTGTGGTATAGGAAATGATGAGTTGGTGGACTTAGAAAAATATGGAAAGACTTGGACTTATGAAAGAAGATGGTATCCACCCTCAGATATCTTCTTGTGGGGGGGAGAGAGAGGAAGGGAGAAAAAAGAACAAAGTAAAAAGCACACAGCAGAGAACAAAAGAAAACTTATAAGGAAGCAAAGAAAAGATGGACAGTGCTGAACACAATGGTAGTATTTATTACATAGACTTTCTTGAAATGAAAAATCTATTCTGCTGTGCATATGGCAATGCTTTTTTTCTTATTTTGTATTTAGGTTTAAAATAAATGAATAATAAAAAAGAAATAGGCTGGAAAATGAGCAAACAGCAGAAAAAGATCATAACTATAGAAAGTTACTATGTTGATAGGGAAAATCAAAACGCATACTCAGAAGATAACAAAGTAAAAACTCCTACATCCTATATCAAAGAAAGATATGAATTAGTCCGAGACCATGAAAGAGCTTAAAAAGGATTTTAAAAGTCAAAAGAGGTAGAAGAAAAACTGGGAAGAGAAATGAGAGTGGAGGCAGCTAGGTGGCACAGTGGCTAGAACACTGGCCCTGGAGTCAGGAGGATCTGAGTTCAAATCTGGCCTCAGACATATAACACTTACTAGCTGTGTTACTCTAGGCAAGTCACTTGACCCCAACTGCCTCACAAAAAAAAAAAGAGAGAAATGAGAGTGATGTAAGAAAATAATGAAAAAAAGAGTCAACAGCTTGGTAAAAGAGGCACAAAAAGTACTGGGAAAAATAACACCTTAAAAAATAGAATAGGCCAAAAGGAAAAAGAGGTACAAAAATCCACTAAAGAACTTCCTAAAAACTAGAATTGGTCAAATGGAAAAGGAGGAAAAGAAGGTACAAAAGCTCACTGAATGCTTTAAAAATTAGAATTGGGCAAGTGGAAGCTAATGACTCTATGAGACATCAAGAATCAAACAAAATCAAAAAGAATGAAAAAATAGAAGAAAATGTGAAATATCTCATTGGAAAAACAACTGACCTAGAAAACAGATCCAGGAGAGATAATTTAACAATTATTGGACTACCTGAAAGCTATGATAAAAAAAAAAATTCCCTAGGCTTCAGGAAATTATCAAGGAAAAGTGACCTGATATTCTAGAACCAGAGAGTAAAATAGAAATCAAAAGAATACACCAATCCCCTCTGAAAGAGATCTCAAAATGAAAACTGCCAGGAATATTACAGCCAAATTCCAGAGCTCCTAGGTCAAGGAGAAAATACTGCAAGTAGCCAAAAAGAAATAATTCCGATATCAATGAGCCATAGTCAGGATAACACAAGATTCAGCAGTTTCTACATTAAAGGATTGGAAAGCTTGGTATCTGACATTCTGGCGGGCAGAAGAGCTAGGATTACAATCAAGAATCATCTACCCAGCAAAACTGAGTATAATCCTTCAGGGGAGAAAATGGATATTTAATGAAATAGAGGACTTTCAAGCATTCCTGATGAAAAGACCAGAGCTGAATAGAAAATTTGATTTTCAAATGCAAGATTCAAAAGAAGCATAAAAAGGTAAACAGGAAAGAAAAGTCATAAGGGATTCAATAAGGTTAAACTGTTTACATTCCTACGCAGGAAAATGATACTTGTAACTCTTAAAACTTTCTCATTATTAGGACAGTTAGAAGAAATATACATAGACAAAAAACACAGATAAGAGCTGAATATGATGGAATGATTATCTAAAAAAAATTAAGGGGTGAGAAAGAAGAATGCATTGGGAGAAAGGGAAAGGTAGAATGGGGTAAATTATCTGACATAAAAGAGGCTCGAAAGAGTGGAGGGGAAGATGGGAGGAGGGGGAGGGGAGAGCATCAACTGTGCTCTCATCAGAATTGGCTCAAAGAGAGAATAATACACACACACACTCAGCTGAGTGTAGAAATGTATCTTACCATACAGGAAAGGAGGAGGGGAAAGAGATAAGACAAAGGGGAGGTGGGACTTACAGAAGGGAAGGCAGATTAGGGGAGATAAAAATCACAAGCAAACCACTTTTGAGAATAGACAAGGTGAAAGGAGAGAGAGAGTGTACGATAAATAGTGGGAAAACAGGATGGAGGGAAATACATAATTGGTAATCATTACTTTAAATTTTTTTTTATATCAAATTTCTCAGATAAAGAGCTCATCTCTCAAATATACAGAAAACTGAGTCAAATTTATAGAAGAAATGAGAACCATTCCTCAATTGATAAATGGTCAAAGGATATGAACAGGCAGTTTTCAGAAAAAGTAACCAAAGCTATCTATAGTCATATGATCAAAAAATGCAAATTAAAACAACTCTGAGCTACTACCACAAACTTATCAGATTGGCTAATATAACAGAAAAGGAAAATGATAAATGTTGGAGGGGATGTGGGAAAATTAAAATAGTAATGTACTGTTGGTGAAGCTGTAACTGATTCAACTATTCTGGAAGGCAATTTGGAACTATGTCCAAAGGGCTAAAAAAACCATGCATACTCTTTGACCAAGCAGTACCACTACTAGGTCTTTATCCCAAAGAGATAATAAACAAAAAGGAAAAGGACCTATATGTATAAAAATATTTATAGCAGCTCTTTTTGTGGTGGCAAAGAACTTGAAACTGAGGGGATGTCCACCAATTGGAGAATGGCTGAACAAGCTGTTGTATATGATTGTTATTGCTATAAGAAATGACAAGCAGAATGCTCTCAGAAAAACCTGGAAACTGATGCAAAGTGAAATAAGCACAACCAAGAGAACATTGTACACAGTAATAACAATATTGTATGATGAACTATTGTGAATAACTTTGCTATTCTTAGCAATGATCCAAGACAATTCTGAAGGACTAATGATGAAAGGTACTGTCCTTCTCCAGAGAAAGAACTAGTGGAGCCTGAATGCAAATCGAAGATACTTTTTCTTTATTTTTCTTGGGTGTTTTTTTGTCTGTGTTTTCTTTCACAGCATGACTTACATGGAAATGTATTTTGCATGACTACACATGTGTAACCTACGTCAAACTGCTGGCATTCTTAATGAGGGGGGAGATAAGGGAGAGAGAGAATTTGAAATTAAAAATTTGAAAACAGAATGTTACCAATTATTTTTAATTGGGGGAAAAAATAAAATATTAAATTAAAAAAAAGGTAATTGAAGGAGAAGAAGATACCAAAGGCATGGTAAATATCTTGGACCTTATTAGCTAAAAGGGTTATTGAGAGAGAATCAACATCTACTGATATATATGCCTATTTACTATCCATATCAGCATTTTGAGGTCCACATAAATACTCAATTTTTTATTTGTCCACAAATTTTTAAAAAGAATTTTTAGATTTGCAGTAACTTTTACAATTATGAACAGTGTAACAGAATAATAATTTTTAAAGAATATGTAAGGATAAAATAAAACCTTAAATTTTTTTCTTTCTTCCTTTTTTTTCCCCCTAATGAAAGTAGCTCTTTTAGTTGTCTAAAATAAGGGTGGGGAATCTTTGGCCTCAATGCTCAGTCAAAAGGCCATTTTTTTTCACTTTTAGATAAATTGACAGCCCATAATTAGATTATGGGCCTCTGATATTTCTGAAAATCCAGAATCATAAAAGTTTTTTTTTTTTAGGCAATTGGGGTTAAGTGACTTGCCCAGGGTCACACAGCTAGTAAGTGTCAGTATTTGGTCTGAGGCCACATTTGAACTCAGGTCCTCCTGACTTCAGGGCCAGTGCCCTATCCACTGTGCCACCTAGCAATAAAAGTTTTTACATAGGGGAAAATAAACTTGGAATAAAACTGCACCTGGAGATTAGGTTAAAGATGTTTAGTGGCTGCCCCAGAGTATACATATCTCTCACATTGTGTAGTGCCATTTCCAAACAAATAATAGCCACCCTTTTCAAAATACAAAAACTAATTATACTGCTATGCTAATTTCCAGTCACTATGTTGGCACCATTTGCTGCCAATTATTGAAGTATCCATGCATACTATTGCTATGTAAGCAGTACATTAAAAATGCTAGAAAGGAATTTAAGGAGAGAAAAAATAAAGAGCCATTAGTCTACTGAACTGGTCTTCATTTTTGCTTCTTACCTTGATCACCAAGTACCAGGGCACCAGCTTCTAATGCAAAGTCTCCAGATGCACTATCTTTTGAAAGTGTGACAGTCAGACCAGATGAAGTAGTTGTATTACCACAAACGTAAACACCACGTGGGGCAACACTACACACTGCCTAAGGAAAATAAGGTAAGGCAGCTAAAAGAAAAGAAAAAAGTGAACATACCAAAAAATATAATATTTTGTGTCATCTTTGAATTCTCAAACCTTCCTTCATTACTGATTAATTACTAACTTCTCTTGATTCTACCTTTATATCTCTCTCATAAATATCAGTTCCTCTCCATTCCCTCTACCCCCACCACCAAAAATAAGTTTTGGTTCCTTATTATCTCTGTCCAAGTTTACTACTGATCTCCCAGTCTTTAGTCTTCCCTTTACTGATTCATCATTCTGGTGGTAGAATATTCCCAAAGCAAAGCTTTGATCATGCTTCTATTCATAAACTTTGAATGCTGCTAAAATTGGCTACTGAGAAAAGTATGAATTCCTCCTAATATTCAAGACATTCTACACTCCAAGATTTGGCTGCAACCTTGCTTTTCAGCCCAATTACTTCTACTTTTCCTCAGCCATATTAATAATAGTTATTCTCTGAGCATGCCCTATTTCTTCTATCTGGAACATTTTCTCCACCTGTTTAATTCATACATATTCTTCAAGGCCAAGTTCAAATGACAACTTCACCATCAAGCTTCCCCTAACCTCCATGTCAGGAAGTAATCATCCTATCTTCTGAATTCCTATGCTGTGGTGGATCCCTACTTCAGGACCAATTCCAATGCCAGGCTGTCCACTAGGACCAAAAATTTCTTCTATCTCCTGCCCTCTAGGGTCGTCTCCAGGAAAAGAAAGTCACCCCTACCTCCTGACCAGACTCCTATACCTCTACCTGCAACTGTCTCATTTGAGGGCTTCAAGGAGTCTCAAAGGACATAACAGACATAACTGTCAGAAGGCTGAACTTCAAGCAAAGATCTCAGTATGATCTGATCTGCTAACCTCAATAGTCTTTTTTCTGATCACTTGGACTCACTGCTAAATTGTTGGCATGGTCTCATAGTCTCCCTGTCCCAGTGATTCTGAACTCTAGGCTGCCAGTGTACAAAGCTAACTCCCTACTTCTTCTACCTTCACTTTATCCCCTCCTCCCCAACTCTGTCCTACCCCAGATCAGCCTAACCCTTTTCCTGTGCCATCTGGAATACTACTCCATCATTTACAAAGTTTCACCTTAAATCTCCACTCCCCCCCTTTCTATTGGCATCTTTTTTTATATATAAATTTATTTATTTTTAGTTTTCAACATTCACTCCCACAAGTTTTTGAATTTGTATTGGCATCTTTTCTAGTAGTGGCTACAGTTTCTCTCACACTACACCCTTCACTAATCCTGGTGGAGTAGACAGAATACTTCTGTTTCCCCACTGCACTTTCACTGCACTCTACCACTGTCACTGTCCTCTCTTCTTCTGTAGTTCAAGCTATACAAATTTATCATCCAATCTAGATCCTGATGGTTATTATTTATCAACCCCCAAGACATTCTCCTTCTTTCCTCAATGTGTTCAATGCCTGTCTCACAATCTTTACCTCCTTCCCATCTCTTGCCTTCATGCAAGGGGACTGTAGGTCCTTGGGTGTGGCCTTTTGACTGAGTCCATGTTTTACAGAACAAATCCTTTTATTAAGGGGATTTGTTCTGTGAAGTTTGGATTCAGTCAAAAGGCCACACTTGAGGACCGAGAGGGCCACATGTGGCCTTGAGGCTGCAGGTTCCCCACCCCTGCTCTAAATTCTCAGTTGCTCAGTTTCTCAATTCTATCTCACCTACACACAGAGAAGGTCTTACATTTGATCTTGCCATCACTTACAAATGTTCCACTTACTTATTCTCCAACCCATAAATTCTTTTATCAGTTCATAATCTTTGATCTTTCTACCCTTCCCTATACCTTATGACCTCTAACCCTTTTTTTAATCCTTCAAGCATGACCTCCACTCTATCCACTCCTCAGCTCTTTCTCAAGCTATTTACTACCCACACTCTGGTTACATTCTCTTCCCTTCCCTATCTTGACCTGTTAGTAAAGCAATTCAACTCTACACCATATTCTACCCTCACAGGACCCTTGTCTTATTGATGTTGACACCCTACCAAACATGAACCCTGAATTACTCCCACCATCAGCCTCCTTCACACCTATCCATATGCTGCTGAATGGAGCTAGAGGTAATCATGGAACTGTGCTGACTAGATCCACTACAAATTTATGATATCTAATTTCAACTAGGCCCTCACTGCAGCAGGGTAAATAATCTATTCTTTCCTAATTGATCTGCTATTTCACTCTCCACAGTGGCTGTTCTAATCCTTCTCCTTTTTCTCCAAGCCTCCTATAGCACTCCTCTCCCCGTCTTCTCAGCTGAGGACCTTGTCTCATACTTCACTGAAAAAATTGAGACCATTTTCCATGAGCTCCTCTTATCTATCTCACATCATTCAGTCATTTTCTCCCACTATCTACTTCTTCACCCCAGTCTCTTTTCATAATTTTACCCTCATTTCATCATAATATCTCTGTTATCTATCACCATTATCTGTTTCCTTTGTGGCTATGTTCCCTGAGAAAGCTGTCTACAATTAGTGCCTTCATTTCCTCTCTTCTCACTTCTAAATCCTCTGCAGTATGGTTTATGACCTTATCAGCTCAGTGGTACAGTGGATAGAGTGCTGGGCCTGGAGGCAGGAAGCCCTGAGTATAAATCTAGCCTCAGACACCTACTAGATGTGTGATATTGGGCAAGCCACTTAACTTCTGTTTGTCTCAGTTTTCTCATCTGTAAAATGGTGATAATAATATAGCACCTACCTCCCAAGGATGTTGTGAGAATCAAATAATGTAATAGTGCTGAGCAGTGCCTGGCACACTAAACAATAAATACTTGTCTATTTTTAGAACCTTTCTATTGTATGTACCCTTCTCTATTCATACAGCTACAACCCTAGCTCAGGCCCCCGTTACCTCTTACCTGGACCATTGTAATAGCCTCTAAATGGTCTCCTTGCCTCAAGTTTTTCCTTAGTCCAATACATCCTCAACTCAGTGGCCAAAGTGACTTTTCTAAAGGTCTGACCATGTCATTTCCCTGCTCCATTAGCTCCAGTGATTTCCTCTTACATCCAGAGTCAAATATAAACTCCTCTGTTTGACACTTAAATCTTTACATAATCTGGTTCCACCCTGCCCTTCCAGTCTTCTTACTTTATTCACCTCTACACACTCTACATTTTAGCTACACTGGCTTCCCTACTGTTCCTCAAACATGACATGCCATCTCTTGACTCCACATCTTTGCATTGGCTGTATCCAAGCCTAAAATGTTTTAGCTCCACCTCTTGGTTTTCCTGGCTTCATTCAAGATTCAGCTCAAGTACCTGCCACTGCAGGAGGCCCTTTCTGGTCTCCTTCTAACCTGGTAGCACCTTCCCAAGTCATATTAACTTCCATCTATTCTATGTATTTCTTGTAGGTGTCTGGTTATTTTATATGTTGTTTCCTCTATTAGAACATATACTTCTTAAAGAAGACTGACTTTACACTTATTTGCACCTTCAGCGACTGGCACAATGCCTGACACATTCAGCACTTAAATGATTTTTCACCGATAAATTTGTACCTTTTATTGGACTTTCACATTCTACATCATAACATAGTTATTTGTGTTTGTTACTTGCTTTATCAGACTGTAAAACATAATGACAGAAAGGACTATGTCTTATTTATTTTGGTATTCTCAAGCATGCTTTACATATAGTGGATACTTAATAACTATATTTATTTAACAAATTAATGTTTAAGTTCAAATCACAAAGGTGGTAGTTGTCATTTTTCAATTCAACTCAACAAATATTTTAAGTATATACTCCTTTGTGTAAAGCACAATGCTAGGCTCTAAATTTCTAAAGCTTGTCTTATAAAATACATTGCTAGGAGAGGCCACTAAGAAACCTTTCTAGAAATGCTTGAATCTAAATATATGTACAGGACAGTCAGGACTCTAAGGGAATTCCTGTTGAGATTTATAATCCTGCCTAATGCAGAACATTCAATTAAAGTACATCACATAGGCAACTTGAAAAAAAAAGTAAATGGAGTGCTCTATAATTTGACATAAACATATAACATTTTCTAGCATGTGGTAATTAAAATATTAATGGTCAAAACAGCTTAAATAATTTTTTTTAAAAATGTAGCTAGAAAGACTAAAATGAAACTAAATATTTTAAACAAAAGAACATGCAGCACATGAAACTATGTCCAAAAGTCCAAGGTTTGAAAAAAAATTAAATTAAATTAAAATTCACCTCAATTCTTTTAAATAAGGATTCTAATAAAAACTGAAAATATGAGCAACTTCACTGGTATTGTTCAGGATTGCTAACCAAATCATTACTATATATAGATAGTCACATAATGAATGATTTTTAAAAAAGAATTGGGAAGAATGAAAATTTTGTAAATTATAAAGAAAAAAGAAAAAATATGAAAAAAATCTGTACAATTAGTAATCTGTAAAAAATGATACGAATAGCTTACAACTGTTGCCAAACTTTTGGTCAAAGTATAATGGTAAAGTAGCGGTTAACATTTCAGGCCTCAAGAGCAGTATGGTCCTGTAGACAGAATGCTGGACTTTGAGTAAGAAAGACAAAGGTTTGAATACCACCTCACAGATCTGGTAGTTGTATAACTCTGGGTAAGTCATTTGCCTATCTAAGGCTCAATTTACTCATTTAAAAAATGGAGATAATATTAGCATCTACTTTACAAAGTTTATGTGAGGATAAAATGAGATCAAATGAGTTTATGTAGGATAAAATATGTAAAATACTTTACAAACTTTAAAGCTTTATTGTATACTGTCAGCTGTATGGTAATTATTATTCTTACTGAACACAATCGGAAGCATAGAAAAAAACGCTGCACAATGGAATGAAAGAAAAAGCACAAAACATATGCTTACTATATGTCAAGCTTTTATAACAACATGTATAATAAAGAATATAAAGAAAATATAAAACCCTGGGCTATTTCTCCTCTTTAATTAAGGACCAGGTAAATAAAAATTTTGATATTAAAATTCTCTGAACATTCAGTAGCTACTCAGCTTTTATAGTCACAATTACAATTTAAAAGCCAGTTGGTGATGCTACTGTACTTCTTTGATTTTTACTTCAGTCTCATCATCAGCAAACTCACTTCACATAATAAAAGTGAGGCAAGGGCAGGGCAAGGAAGATAGGAATTTTAAACCAAGGAATATGGATGACAAGACATCTACTTACTTGATCTATAGTCAGTGGTAGGCTGGGGATTGCAATTTGAAAAGAAGGACCAACAAGAGAATTACCTCTCTGATTTATTACACAAATCTTAAATTATACATCAAATCACATCTATGCAAACATGCTTATCATGTACAGAATAAGCCTGATAAAACAAATATATATTTATACCAAAAACATTAAAAGTGTCTAGGTACTAGCCCCTAGGGTTGCAAAAGTGGGGACAGATAAATACAGGATATGTACAAAATAAACAAAATGATGGGAGGTGGGGAGGAGGTATTAACAACTGAAGGAATGAGCAAAGGTAGGTGGCACTTGATGTGTGTCTTAACCATTCAATCTCTATATTAAGAGCTTCTATTCCATATGGAAAATAGTAGTTTTAAAAGATAATTATGAACTATACTTGCATATTACAAGTAAAATCTCTTAAGTATTGCGTGATAACCTACTTGTAGCATTTGACTCTTTCCCAATCCTGGATCTCCAACCACTAGGATGTGTGGGTCTCCTCGAACTGGAATTCTATTTTTGTCATCCACATACTTCTGGCATCCTCCAAAAAGTGCTAATGCTAAACCAGCTTTAACAAGCTAGGGTGAAAAAATAAATAAATAAAACTGGTCAAAAGTGAGGTAAAGACTTAACAAGTGCTTTTTACCTGCTATTTCCTTCTGAAATTGTATTTCTGAAATTATAACAAGAGCTCATCTCATGTGCTATCTGCCTAATTTTTCTGAAGGTGACTACTACTAAGACTACTCTGTAAGTTCACAACATTAATTTGTGAAGGTAATAACTCAGGTGACTACATAAAGGAGGGAAAAAAATCAATCAATAAACATCTGTTAAGCATCTACTATGTGCCTGGCACCATATTAAGTGCTAGGTATACAAAAGAGAGGCAAAAGAGACCTTGCCCTCAAGGAGCATACAATCTAACAGGGGAATTAACTTGCAAACAAATATATACAAAGCAAATTATATACAAGCTGCATAAGAAATAATTAAAATTAAAAATTCATGTAAATTAAAATCCGTTATTTTTATATATCTGGCCATTTTACACTAATTTTCAAAATTCTTCAGAGGTCACATTTATTAAACAAAGACAGATTTTCATTTAAAAATAAGAACAAAATTAAACAATATATAACACTTACTTCATGACCAAAAATTACAGGGCAAAGTGAACTGAAAAACAAAAAGAACTAGGTTTGAAATACTGTCAAACTTCATTATCCTTTTTTTTTTCACTTAACTATCATCTATCAAGGAATTTTCACTTGGTATTTAAAAAAAATTCCTTTTTTTTTTTTTTAAAGGTAGTTGGGGTTAAATGACTTGCCTAGGATCACACAGCTATAAGTGTCAAGTGTTTGGTTTAGGCCAGATTTGAACTCAGGTCCTCTTGACTTCAGGGCCAGTGCTCTGTCTATGCGCCACCTAGTTGCCCCCCCAAAAAAATTCCTAAAAAAAACTTCAACATCTTTTACTATGACACAAGTTCTCAAAATTCTTCCTTAGTGACATATAATAATCTAAAAGAAGGAAGAATATTTCAATATTTCAAGTCTATACACAGTCAAGGCACTCAATAAGCACTTTTAATTATCTTAAGTGAACTATGCCCTCTATTAAGCCTTTTCCAGAACTAGACTTTAAATTGGTTTTTGGTTGTAGAACATATGTATCATATTAAATGAAATTTAACATGATGTGCATGCTGACATATCTGTTTTGATAGCTAAGTTATTAGGGAATATTAAATGATCAACTGGATATGCATAACAATATACTGAAGATGACATACTTCAACTGAAGATGGAGGATTGTATAAGCAAAACTACGTACAAATATGCAGCAGTGAACACGCAACCTGTTTCGATTAGAAAAACAAGATATACGATGTGGTACAGGGAACCCATACATTGAACATTACACTTGGGAGTCATGAATACCAATGTTAGAATACTGCCTCAGATTCTTACTAGCTGTGTGAACTTGAGCAAGCTACTTAATCTCTGCCTCCTTTAGTTTCCTCATCTATAAAATGAAGATAATAATATCACCTATTTCCCAGGGTTGTTATGAAAATAAAGTGAGATAAAAAATATAAAGTGTTTTACAAACCTTAAAACACTATATAAATGCTAGCAACTAGTATTATAATTATAATAAAAACCAAGAATGTCAATTGTACCAATTTATACTAAATTTTATTATATATACACTTCCAATTTTTTTTTAACTTGTAAGCATTTATTGCCTACTTTAATCCAACATGGTAGTCCATAGCTCATGTTGAAGTTTCAAAGAATGTGAGTAGGAAGATGTAGAATTGAAAGAAAACAACAGGAAAAAAGTCACACAAATGTCATATTCACTTAAAAAAGCAAAGTTGCATATTGGAAAAATCAATCTATGTCAAAAGTTATGACCTTCTATATACTATCATGACAGAATGGTACAGTAGAAAGAGAACTGGATTTGGAATCAGAGGATATGGTCCAAATCATGTCTCTGTTACTACCTGTTATAGCCTTGGGCAAGTCTCATAAATCTGTTATCTAATCTGGAAAATGAAGGGTTGAAATAATCATCTTGAAGTTCTTTTCCAGTTCTAAATCTATGATTCTACAGTCTTAGGCAATTAATTTATCTTCTCTAACACTAATTTTTTTTTATTTTTAAAAGGACAATAATACTCATAAAATTATAATTGATATGTCTAAACATAAAATACTAAATAAATGTGAACTATATAAAATCAAATTAAGAAAAATAAATATTCATCATTAGATAAATATGATGATCTAAGAAGAATCATAGAAATATAGTGTTAAATGTTTATTTATATGGAGGGGGTTTGGGAGAAGTGGAGAATAAACTGCAGGATATTTCAGGTCCTGAGCTAGATTTTTCTAGTTCCCATGATAATAATAGTATCCTGATGACTATAACTATAGCTCAGAGACTAATTTCTATTTTTGTGAGTTTTTGTAGTTTTCTTATTCAAAGTGGCATCTTTAAATGTTTAAGAATAAAGAAAAATTGAAGAGCTATAAGGCAAGGTGTGGTATAGTAGAGTATTGTACTCAGAATTAGGGAGACCCAAGTTCAAAACTGGCCTGTGATATTTACTTGCTAGCAGGGTTTGACAGTCATTTAACATCTCTGAGGGGGAAAGTTTCCATACTAGGTGTACCATCAGTGCCATAGATTTATGAAAAATGGTGAATTAACTAATTAATATTTGAAATTCAGAGGAAAGAAGTAATAAGACTCCAAAGCACAAAATCAAAGTGAATAATAGGATATAAAAAGAATACTCTACTTAGAAAAGTATCTATGTTCCTAAAACAACAATCCTTTGTGTGCTCAACTGACTTCTCAGAATGTAAAGTATAAGTAACAGCTGAAATTTATCCAGTGCTTTAGGATTTGTAAAATGCTTTACATACACTTTCTCATTTGTTCTTCACGACAAACCTGTGGAATAGGCACTAGTATTATTATCCCTGATTTATACATGGGGAAACTGAGATCTAGAAGAGTTAAATGCCTTGCCCATAGTCATATCAGCTACTGTCAGAAGTGGGATTGGAACCCAGGTCTCTGCTGGCTCCAAGTACAAGGCTGTCTTTCAGAAAGACAGCAAAAATGGAAATGACACTGCAAGACAGGATAGTAATGAAGCACAATTATTAGTTCAATGAGAGATCTGTTATATTATAGTGAGTTTCAACCATTTAACTTAAGCATTAAAATAACTACTCATCCATACTTGACAATAAGCTTAAAAAGATTTTCTTCAGACTGAATCTCTTGGATAGCATAAAGATCTTTCAGTGAAAATTCCATAGATGTTCCATAATTTGCCCCATCTTCAGAAATTTTTGTTTTTTGTCCTTTGCTATTGCTTACAGAATTTGCTTCAATGTATAAGAGGAACATGCATTTATCATTCTTATTTCGAGAACCTGAAAAATGAAAATTAAAATCTCCCCTTTATTCAAGTTATAAAATCAAAAGACATGTTGAACTACAAAAGGAACTTCAAATAAAAGTAAATGTTATGCCTTCCTAATAAACACCATGTCTAAAATGTAGAATTTGACAATTAGATTTGGAAATATCCCAATCCCTAATAAAAAGTGGATAGAAGATGAATAGCTACTGAAGGATAAGACAGACTAGCTCTTCAAAAAAAAAGAAAGAAAAGAAAAAGAAAAATTCACAGTATACCTTCTTCAGTATTTGATACTTTAACAATTCCTGTAATGGTGACTATGTCTCCTGGGACACAGCTATCTACAAGGTCTTGAACAAGCTCACATTCTATTGTTCGAGGAATCCGGCCTGCTTCTCTCTGGTCATCTGACATCAACTCCTGAATTCTACAAAGACAGCAGTGTACAAGTCCATAGAAACACTGAGTTAGTTTCTTCTTTTACATTTATTTTCTTCTTTACAAGTTAAAAATTCAGTCACCAAATATTAAAGTATCCCTTAACATGGAGGTAAACTAGACATTTTATATAGTAGTAAAAACAACATAATTCCTTAGCACTTTTTCCAATTTAAATAGCGTATGTCTAAAGCTTACTTTAGCAAATTCTATATTTTAGAATTATAAGTATGATATAAGAACCATACATGTTGGTGCTTCCTCCACTGATGCTAACTGTAGCCCCTAAAATAATTTGCAATGCCCTAGAAAACCAGCTTCCTCAGGCATTGTAGAAAAAAGTAAATAAATAAATTTATATATACACACACATATATACACATATGTATTATATATCTGTATATATTATATTATTACATAATATATATATTATGATATATATATTAGAGAGAGAGAGACACACACACACAGAAAGGGTTGGGGGGAGATTACTTCTGGTAATGACTTTTAAACTTATTGAGGCAGAGGACAAACAGTTCACCAGACCTTTACTCCAATCAATCAAGAATTTATGAAGTGACTACTATTTGTCAGGTGCTGAAGCTACAAAGACAGTCCAGCTGATTCACTGGCTGAGGTGGAAGAGTTGGCATATCCCTTGCTCCTCACTGTTACCTCAAGGTTCTTCCTCTACCACCATTATTTAGTAATCTCTCCTCCTCTGAAATTCACTCAATCCATAACTACCACCTAATGCTATTGTTTACCATCCTCTAGGTTACTCCCCTTCTTTCCTCTAAGAATTTAGTGCCTGGCTCACAATCCTCCACTCCTTACTTCCTGCCCTTATTCTAGGAGGCCTCAATATACATAATGATACTCCCTCTTGCATCCTAATCTCAGAGTTTCCCAACTAACTCATCTTACATCACTTAATCCTCCACTCCTCTTCAGTCACACCTAAAGATGGACAGTCCTGCCTTTGATCTTGCCCTGATCTTTCTTGACTTCTATGCAACCTCTGACACTGTCAGTTATCCACTTCTTGATACTATTCTATGTCTTCCTGACACTACTTTCTCCTGGTCCTCCTCTTATCTGACAATTCCTTCTCAATCCAGGATTTTCGTCCAGATCAGACATATTAATTGTGGGTGTCCCAGAGGGATCTATCCTAGGCCCTCTTTCCTTCTCTACACTGTTTGACTTGAATTCATCAGCTCCCATAGATTTTCAAATCTGCATTGTCCCTGTCCCACCTTTCCCCATCCTTCCCAATGAGAAAGCAAAAAACCAGAACCAAAACCAAAAATAAGACCTCTCTTATAAAGAAAATAAACCAAGCAAAACCAAATTCTTGCATTGGTTGTTAAAAAAAAAAGTCTCACACTGTACTGTTCATTACCTCTCTATCAGGAAGTGGTGCCATGTTTCATTTTGAGTCTTCTGGAATGTTGGTCAGTCTGAGTTCCTAGGTTTCAAAATGTTTTGTCTTTTCTGCAAAAATTTCCCATTTACCTGCTTCTCTTCTTATATTGGTTGCACTGGTTTTGTTTGTGGAAAGACTTTTGAAAATTTTATGTAATCCAAACCATCCATTTTACCTTCTATGACACAATCTCTCTCGTTTGGTCATGAACTCTTTCCCTAGCCATAGACCTAACAGGTAATTTCTTCCTTGCTCCTCCAATTTGTTTATGATGTTTTATATCAAAGTCATGTATCCATTCGAGGCTTATCTTAGTATATGGTATGAGTTGTTGGTCTATATCTAGTTTCTATCAGACTGCTTTCAAATTTTACCAACAGTTTTTATTGAATAGTGAGTTCCTACCCAAATAACTGGGATGTTTGGGTTTATGCCACTGTGGTTATTTGCTTCTATATAGTGTACCTAATCTGTTCTAGTAACCAACCTATTTTTTTACCCAGTACCAAAGTGGTATTGGGCTCTTGTATTTTGTAGGGTAGTTTGAGGTCTGGTACTAGTGGCTCTCCTCTTTGCTCCTTTTTTCATTAATTCCCTTGATATTCCTGCTCTTTTGTTTCCCCAAATTAATTGTTATTTTGTTGCACTCCACAAAGTAATCTTTTGGTAGTTGGACTGGAATGACATTATATAAATGAACTAACTCAGGTGGCATTGTCATTTTTATTATATTAACTGATTACTCATGAGAAATCACTATTTCTCTATTTAGAGCTGCTTTTATTTCTAGAAAGAGTGTTTTGTAGTTATGTCCATAGAGTTCTTGTGAATGTCTCATCAGGTAGATTCCCAAGTATTTTATGCTTTCTGTAGTAAATTTTTAATGGAATTTTTTCTCTTTATGCTAGATTATGTTAGTAAGATATAAAAATGCTGATATTTCATATGGCTTAATTTCATATTCTGCAAAACTTTGCTAAAGTTAATTGTATCAATAAATTTTTTTAGATGACTCTAGGATTCTCTAAGCCATCATACCATTTGGAAAAAGCGATAATTTTGTTTTCCTCTTCACCTATGCTTATTGCCTTGATTTTTTTTTTATTTTTTATTGCAATATTTGGTACCATATTGAATAGCAATGATAATAATAGATGTCCTTACTTTATCCCTGATTTGTTGGAAAGGCTTCTAGTATACTGTCATTATAGACATTATAGATGACATTGGCCAATTGTTAAACATGATACTAATCACATTAAAGAAGCAATTATTTCTATATTTTCCAGAATTTTTTTTCTGAATAGGAATGAGTTTTGTATTTTATCAAAAGCCTTTTCTATATCTACTGATATAATCATATGATTTTTATTGTTCTTGCTATTAAAATGACCAATTATGTTTATAGTTCTAATAATGAAATATACTTGCATTTCTGGTTTAAATCCAGCTTGGTCACAATGCATAATCTTTGTGATGTATTGCTGTAACCTCTTTGCTAATATTTTATTTAAAATTTTTACATCAATTTTCATTAGGGACATTAGTCTCTGGTTCTTTTTCCCTGCTTTGACTTTCCTTGGTTTAGGTATCAAGGACATATTTGGGCAATTTATATTTTTGTAGATATTCATACATTTCACTTAGACTGTCAGTTTTATTAGTATATAATTGGACGGATTAGTTCCTAATAATTTCATTTCTCTTTTACTGGTTGTGAATTCACCTAAAGAAATTTGATAATAGTGATTATGCAGGGTTCCTTTGTAATACTTCCTCTATGGCCTATGACCTTGTTTGATGAATAATTACAATAAGATACAACATATGTTTCATCAAACCCTTCATCACATAAAACTTGTGCATTACATTTATTGATCAATGTTTTTAACCTCTGTTGGACTACATATAACAAATTTTATTATAATTATGGTAATAATAACACATGCATATATCACTTTAAGGCAGATTGTGCAGGTATGCCAAAGGATTTCGGGCAGGCTGCGAAAAACGTAGAGGACATTTTCCACTACATTTTTTGTTGGCCGCCCAAAATGCTTTGGTGTGCCACAAGTGGTCCGGGGACTGCCAGTAGCGCTATAGGGTTTTCAAGAAACCTATGATCTATTTTTGTTGTTACTTACTTAATAGACTGCCAATCCACGGTAACTGTGAGAGGAGAACTTCGGAGAGCAGTGAATGTTTTCCCATGGCATACAGGCACAGGGCACTGGAACAGAATGTATTCAAAGTCATATTTTGCTAGACTTAAATGAGTTCCTTAGAAAAATATAAATGAAAATGTCTCATTTAACTTTTTTGATTAACAATTTGGCACCTTACTAGTATCAGAGTTTGATACAACAATGGCTACAATGGTTTGCAGTTCCCTACGTTATAAAATCTAAATGCTATCTAGGTGTCAAGCAATCCATAATCTGCCTTCATTCTGCCTAGTAGCCATTTCCCCTACTTTTAATCCCACTATCTTATTAAGCACTTACTAGACACAGAGTGCTGTGGAGGAGATATAAAACATAGTCAAATTACTTACCAACATATTAGGTAAGTCACCTTACCATTCCCTATCACATAATACATTCATTCCTACCTCTAAGACTGTCTTCTCAACTAGGAATGCCCTTCCTCCCTTTGTCTCCAACTATCTGTATATTCTACCCATCATCAATCCATTCTACCCATCATCTATCCATCTGACTTATCCAGTATAAATTCTACCTTTTATAATATAGACTATAGTTTTATACTGTATAGAGCATTCCATATAAAGTATAAACTAGAGTATACAGGGGTGGGGAACCTGTGGCCACATGTGGCCTCAAGGTCGCAGGTTTCCCACCCCTGGACTTTAGTATACTAGTCATGATTAGTGTCACTAACTTTTTGCTCTTGATTATTCTATTTAATTTGTGCCTTACTATTCATTTGTCCCCAGCTTATGAACAGGATGTTTTCTGAAAGTTCATGAGTCAATCTCTTTTATTACTTGGAACATACTTTCCAATAGAAACAATATTCTAAAAGGTAGTTAGATGCATAGGCTAGCTAGATGATGATATAGCTAACAATACTAATTTGAGTTCAAGGTCTTGGGATCAGGGGGTCATTCAGTCCATGGAAGAGGGTTAGCAGAAGAAATCCTTTATTCTAAGTCTAAGATTAGTCCTAGAAAAATTTTTGAAACAGGTTACATTTTGGTATTTTTGGCATTTTTCTATCTTCATTTCTGTACCTCTCCTCTCTTCTGCAACCTGGTACTCTTCTTCTCATGTGCCCTTATGTGGTCCTCGCTATAAGTCTCTCACTATAGCATCAACCCAGTCCTGTATTCTAAAGTGCTCCAGAATCTAAAATGACAACACACTTCTCCTTCCATTATCTCAGCTAAGCCTCAAATAGGGATTCTTAACCTTATTTTTAACGCTGAAAATGCCTTTGGCAGTCTGATGAAACCTATGGAGCCCTTTTCAGAGTGATGTTTTTAAATAAATAAAATAAAATGATTGCATACGAAATCAATTATATTGAAATACAGTTATCAAAATATTAAAAAGCAAGTCCACAGACCTTAGGTTAAGAACTTTTGTGCTAGAAGAAAAACAAACTGATTGGTCCAATTCATATTAAATGGTCAAATGGTAAGAGCTGTAACTGGTGGTATTGAAATTGTTAACTTGGTAACAAAAAGTGAAATGAAAATCTTTAGGCACTGTGGAAGAAGATGCTTGGAAGGTAGGTAGGCAAAGGCAGGCCAGTCCTGCCTAAGATCTGCTCCAATAAGTTTCTCTTATTTTTCAAAGATTTTTCCCTTCTTCCACTTCTAAAGCTATAGATTCTCTAAAAGCTTTAGATTTTGAAATGATAGTTGACATGGCAACTGCAGAAATGGGAAGGCCAGGTGTCCATTTGTGTGTGTATACATATTTGTGTGTATGTGTGTGTGTGTATACATACATACATACATATATATACACACACATACATATATATACACACATATTTTCCAAAATGACTGCTTGCATACTGTGTTATATCTTTACCCACAGGCGGTGTGACCCTGGGCAAGTTATTTGCCTTCTCAAGATCTAGGTAGGCCTCTAAGACTATAAATCACAGAGAGCTTGCAGAAGTAGAAAGAATTTCCTCACCTGGTTATCGCCTATACCAATGAGGCCACAAATCCAGTTCCTATTTTATATAAGTGTATATATACACACATGTGTGTATACATGTATGTGTGTCTGTGCATGTATATATACATGAGAGGGAAAGAGAGAGGGGGAAGGGAAGAAAAAATGTGGACATCTCAATCTCAGCATGTCCAAAACAGGCCTTATTATCTTTCCCTCTAAACCTACCCTCCTAAATTCCTTATTTGTTTTGAAAGTACAGTCACCCATATTCACAACCTAGAAGTCATACTCAATTCTTCACTCTTACTCACTCCCCTAGATTCAATTAATTGAAAAAAATCTCATTGATTCTACCTTTTCAACATCTTTCTATCCATTCTCTTTTCTCTAATGACAACATTTCTAGACACTCATTATCTTTTACCTGTCAATTTCAATAGCCTCATAATTGCTGTCCCTTTCAAACAGTTGTCAAACTAATATTCTTAAATAATAGGTCTCTAAGATGTCACTCCTGTCTTCAAGAATCTTCAGTGGCTCCCTACTGACTTCAGGAAAAATTTAAATTCCTCTGTTTGGCATTTAAAGTCCTTCATAGTTTGGCTCTAGCCTATCTTTCCAGGTTGACTACATAGTATTGTGCCTCACAAATGCTATGGTCCAGACAAACTGGCTTACTTGTTAGTCCCAGGGCACAATATTCTACCTTCTACTTTTGTGGGGGGTTTTTTTCAGTCTGACCCTATATCTGAAATGTTCTCTCTCCTAATATTCCACTTCTTGAAGTACCTAGATCAGCACGTGGACCATTTCCCATAAGACATCTTTCCTGATATCCCCAATTGTGAGTGTCTCCCCCACAAATCTTTTTATTTTGTAAATATCTTATATTTATCTATGAACATGTTATGTCTCAATGGTGTAGCTAAGTGGTGCAATGGAAAGAGTGCAGGGCCTGGAGTCAGGAAGACATCTTTCTGAGTTCAAATGTGGCCTTAAGACACTTACTAGCTGTGTGACCTTGGGCAAGTCACTTAACCCTGTTGGCCTCAGTTTCTTCATCTATAAAATAAGTTGGAGATGGAAACAGCAAACTCTAGTATCTCTGCCAAGAAAATCCCAAATGGGGTCATGAAAAGTTGGACATGACTGAAAAATAACTGAACTGTGTCTCCATGGTAGTATGTCATCTCATTGAAGACAAGAACTTTCACCTATGTATTTGTAACCCCTGCACTTAAACAGTTGCTGACACACAGTGATGGAGCTTAGTAAATTACTATTGACTGATTAAATAACACCCTTAGCACAGAATCTTAGTGCTGGCGAGGCTGATGGGGAAAGTTAAAGAGAGGGGCAGCTAGGTGGTGCAGTGGATAGAGCACTGGCCCTGAAGTCAGGAGGACCTGAGTTCAAATGCTACCTCAGGCCAAACACTTGACAGTTACTAGCTGTGTGACCCTGGGCAAGTCACTTAACCCCAACTGCCTAAAAAAAAAAAAAAAGAAAAAGAAAGTTAAAGAGAACAAAATGGGTTTTTCTAACCTTAATGATCCTATTACATGTTGGGGCTTACATTGGAGATTTTTGTTTATTTTTTCTTTTCCAGTTGGTATTTTCTCAAAAAAACATATATGCAAAGTGCCTGATAATGCTGCTGACAATAAATAACATTACTTTGCCTGCTTTACTGTCTTGTTTGTTACAAGTTAATTACACAGAACTATAGACTATATGTTTAGTATTAAGTTTAGCATCTGTTGTTGTTTCAGTCATCTCTGACTCTTTGTGACCCCATTTAGGCTTATGAAAATACTGAAAAAACAAATTTAGCATTATTGTTTATTAAATAAAAATTTTTATTTTCACTTTTTCAAAAAATGAAGCCTGATCAATTTATTAAATATTTGGGGGTTTTTGAACTGGAAACTAATAGAGATAATCTTGATTTTAGGAATAGACCCCAGAGAATAAACATAAGAACATTTTAAGAATATTGTTTAAAAAAATGTCAAAGAATTGGGAGATTTCAAGGTAATTTACAGTAAGATCAGGCTGGGGGGGGGCAGGTTCCATTCAGTCAGCATGGAAATATTTTTAATATTTAATAATTTAATCTAGTAGATGATTTGAAAATACCAGACATATTGACAGTAGAGAACAATACATGGGGAAATAATTTACACACTCCTTTGTAATGAATTAATCAAGAAATAAATTTCCTATTGAGAAAATGGGCTGTGAGAGTTCTTGAGTCTGAAAGATATAATTCACTTGTGAAATGGGTAGAAGCAAGATCTATGATAGATAGTGGGCAAGCAAAGGCCTGGCAATAAAAGTGTCACCCCAGGGAGAGACTGAGTATAGATCTATCCTTGTAATGAAGAATTCCCAACAGGGTGAACCAATCCCAACCGATGTTAGCCTAGGTGTTGTTAGGTTTTTTTGGGTCATAGACCCCCTTTAGCAGTCTAGTGAAGCCTATGGAACTCTCTTAGAATAATATTTCTAAATGTACAAAATAAAGTATATAGGATTACGAAGGAAATAAATTATATTGAAATAAAGTTATGAAAATATTGAAAAAACAACTTTATTGATTTGAGGTTAAAAATCTTTGCTCTAGAGCATTCTCTTACGCATGGACTAAAGAAGTAATCAATAAGCATTTATTAAGGAGTAGTCAATAAGCATTTATTAAGTATCTACTATGTGCTAGGCCAGGGGTGGGGAACCTGTGGCCTTGAGGCCACATGTGGCCCTCTAGGTCCTAAAGTGCAGCCCTTTGACTGAATCCAAACTTCACAGAATTCAGTCAAAGGCTGCAAGTTCCCCACTCCTGTGCTAGGCACTATGCTAAGCATTAGGGATACAAAAAGAGACAAAGACAGTCCCTGCCTTCAAGGAGCTTATACTGTAAGCCACCAAAGGTCATACTAGTAATATAGATTTTGAGACAAAAGTTTACGAAGAATCTACAAAGATAGAATAGACAAAATCTAATTGTGAAAATAAGGCTAAGAAAACAAAGGTTATAACCATCAGATACAAGAATACCACCAGTGCAGTACAAGCAAGGAAGTCAAAGTATATTTTGTTTATAGCTATGGACACATGAGTGATGAATGCACCCAAAAGAAGGCGGCAAAGTTCACATGCAAGAGGCTGAACTAAAAAAAAAAAAGCAAGAATGACTTACAATTTGTACAAGAACACAACCAGAGAAACAGAAATGTCTTCTGTTACTCTTATACTAGATAGCCATAAATATGTCAACTGCACTTCAGAAGACAATTTCCATTTGGTTTGGAGAAAGCTGATGTCCAAGTAATAAGCAGGATTAAGAAATAAGTGATGGCATGGGAAAAATTTAGCATTTAATGAACTAGAGGATTTTCAGGTATTCTCAAGGAAAAAACCAGAACTGAACAGAAAATTTGATTTATAAGAATCAGGAGAAACATACGAAGGTAAACATGAAAGACTAATTATAAGGGATTTAACAAGATTAAACTCTTTACTTGTCATATGGAAAAATAAGATTTGGAATTCCTAAGAATGTTATCATTACTAGGGTAGTTTGAAAGAGTCACACATACATAGGAGGTTTAGGGCTGAGTTGATCATGATGCGATGATCCTAAAAAACAAAAATGGGTAGGAAGAGTTAAAATGGGATAAATTATCTCATACAGAAGAGGTGTAAATGGAAGGAAGAACTGTTACATATGGTATTGGGCAGGAGCCTTATTCTCATCAGAATTGGATGAAAGGGATAACATATACATTTAGTAGGGCACAGAAGTCTTAACTTACAGAGAAATAGGAGGGCAAAGTGTATAGGATAAGGGAGGGACTTTAGAAGGGTGTGTGAGTTAGGGAGGCAGTGGTCAGAAGTAAATTAGATTTCTGAGGAGGGGTAGGGTAAAAAGAGAGAGAAGAAATATGAAGGAAAAACAGGATGGAAGGAAATACACAAGTAGTAATTAAAACTTTGAATGTGAATAGGATGAAAACAGAAACAGAATGGATCAAAAAACAGAACTCAACAATATGTTGTTTACAAGAAACACATTTAAAATTGAGAGACACACACAGAGTAAAAATAAAGGACTGGAGAAAAACTGATTATGCTTCAGCTAATATAAAAAGAAGCAAAGGTGGCAATCATGATTTCAGACAACATTAAAACTAAAATAGATTTAATTAAAAGAGATGAGGGAAACTACATGTTAAAAGGTACCATAGATAATGAAGTAATGTCAGTACTAAAGATATATGCACCAAATGCTAAACCATCAGGAAATATTAGCTATAATGAGGTAAGCTAGAAGCCTTCCCAGTAAGATCAGGAGTAAAATAAGGATGCCCATTATCACCAATATTATTCAACATTGTATCAGAAATGCTAGCAATAACAATGAGAGAAGAAAAGGAAACTGAAGGAATCAGAATGGGCAAAAAGGTAATAAAACTATTTCTTTTTGCACACATTATGATGGTATACTTGGAAAATCCTAGATATTCAACTAAAAGCTAGCTGAGACAATTAATAATTTTAATAAAGTACCAAGACATAAAATAAACCCATATAAATAATCAACAAAGTCCTGCAAGAAGAAATAGTAAGAGATAGTTCATTTAAAATAACTATAGACAATATAAAATACCTGGGAGTATACCTGCCAAGACAAACCCAGGAACTATGAGAACGTAATTCTAAAATACTTTTTATACAAATAAAGTCAGATTTAAATAACTGGAGAAATATTAATTGCTCATGGGTGGGCTGAGCCAATATAATAAAAATGACAATTCTACCTAAATTAACCTACTTATTCAATGCCATCCCAATTATATTAAAAAATTATTTTATTGAGCTAGGAAAAACAATTACAAAATTAATTTTAAAGGACAAAAGGCCAAGAACATAAAAGGAATTAATGGGAAAAAAACATAAAGGAAGGAGGTCTAGCAGTGCCAGATCTTGAACTCTAATATAAACCAGTAATTATCAAAAGTATCTGGTACTGGCTAAACAATAGAATGTTGGATCAGTGGAAGAGAGTAAATATACCATACATGACAGTAAATGATTATAATAACCTTGTGTTTGATAAATGTAAAGATTTAAACTTTTGGGATAAGAATTCACTTTTTGGTAAAAATTGTTGGGAAAACTGAAAAGCAGTCTGGGAGAAATTAGGTATAGACATATATCTTAATTTACCAAGATAAGGTCAAAATGGATACATGACCTAGACATAAAGGGAGATATAAGTAAATCAGAAGAACATGGAACACATTATCTATCACATTTATGGACAGGAGAATTTATAAAATAAAAAGAGAGAGCACTGTGAGATATAAAATGGATAATTTTTATTACATTAACTTAAAAGGTTTTGCATAAATAAAACCAATGTAGCCAAGATCAGAAGGAAAGCAGAAAATTGGAGAAAATTTTATAGAAGTTTCTTGGACAAAGGCTTCATATCTCATATATACAGAGAATTTTGTCAAACTTATAAGAATATGGGTCATTCTCCAACTGATAAAGGGTCACAGGATACAAATGGGCAGTATCTCTGCCAAGAAAACCACAAATGGGGTCATGAAGAGTCAGACACAACTAAAGCAACTGAATGACAACAACAAAAAAGGGATTCGAGAAATGACTCACTATATTTATGGCTCCATTTAGTACTCTTTATTCTCTAAGGGTTAAAAAAAGGTCTTTGACAATGAGGACTTGAAATTACCTTTGTGGGAAGACTGTATTTTCCATCTGGAAAAGAAAAACTTTGTATTTCTCCACAGGCAGCACACAAAAAAGCCATCTTGGTGCAAAGAGGTTTTATATTACTGACTCGAACAACTGTTCCTCGTAAAGCAATGTATTTCCCATAGCAATTGGCTCGGACATTTTTCAGCTGAGTTAGAGAGTCATAGTTGTATACCCTAAAACAATGGAAACATATATATAAGAGGTTTTTAAAGAAAAATAGAAAAATATAATGAAAAATAAAAAGATGTAGGTGCCTTTACTTTTATACAGGAACTACTACTGAATTATCAAAAAATATATGAAATCACAGAGTGAAGACATCATTAAAGATACAGGGACTTTTTTCTTCTCTTTTCCTTCCCCCCAAGAAGTTCTTTGAGAAAAAAAAATTTCTACAAGTAGGACTATATGAAGACAAATAAAGGATGAACCTAGAAGGTGTTCTGTGATGACACCCAATTCAATAACTTTCAACGCTTCTTAAAAAATAAACATTGAAAATTTCACCTATAAATTCTAGGCAAAGCTGATATGCCATATCTACCTCCTTTCAATGTAGATGACTATATCTGTGTTTAATAATAATTTTTAAGTCTTAACTAATACGGTTGAATTCATTCTTTCATGTCTCATAACTTGTATAAAATATAACAAAAATTGGTCACAAGGAGACTTAGTAACTTAATAGTACACCATAGCCATAACTAGCAAATCCAGGTAGCAATGTTTTCAGTAACTATTCAGTGTGTGTGTGAAAATTCAAAAATTGACAATTTTCAAATTTTTCTTCTAAGACTTAGAATTGGTTCACCTCAACAAAATAGAACTAAATGCATATCCTTTCTATGTTAGATTCTTTTAAATAAACTTTCTTAAATAGTTTTCAATATCCTTATTCTAAGAAATTTTATAACACAAATTCATTCTTTACCTTGCAATAATATGTGGTACATTTACAATTGTTTCTCCTTCACTTGATAATCCCTCTTGGGCCTGTAATTCAGCTGCGTGTCTTTCAAGATCTTTTGTTAATATCTATTTAGGTAAAATACACAGAATTCTTTATATATTGTTTTATAGAGGAGTTAATTATATATATACACACACACACATATATATACATACATTTCCAGAAACATTTTAACTAATAAGGATTCTAACAGTCCTTTGATTAGCACTATTGTCTATGAAAGATTACTTGCAATTTGCTATGCTTTTGTCATGACAAGTGACTGCCATGTGGCCTTACTCACTGTCTCAGGGCTGGGTTTTCAAACTGTTTGTTATCTCTGGTTCCATTATGACCTGGCTACCAAGTGTCCCAGGTTAAAATGGTTAATAAGGAGGCCGCATGTCACTATTTCCAGCTTGGTTCTATCAAAGAATGCTCTAACATCTAAAGAAAATTTCAGAAAGGCAATGTTGTATAATGTTAAAGGAATGCGAGACCTGGGTTCAAGTCCTAATTCTTTCACACAGCAGTTGTGGAATTATAGGTAAATTAATTTAACCTTTTAGCATGCCAGACAATTCTCTAAGATAGCAAATTATAAATTAGTTGCTGACCTGAAATGGTGGAGAGAATTTCCATATCAATGAAATTACAAGCCTGGGGAAAAAATTAGACAAACACGAATCTCAAAGTAAAACTTAAATTAAGAATCTCCACACAAATGATGGAAGAATTCAACAGAGCAGCATTATTTAAGACAAAACATGCATTCAACAATACAGCCCAATTTAATTTCTCCCAAGAGGAATCATCAAAGAAAATCAGAAAGACTGGGCTTAGAATCTTAGGATCTAAAGGTCTGAGCTCCAGGTCTGCAATTTAATAGTCACATAATGCTGGGCAAATAATATTGCCCCTACGAACGGCAGTTATCCTCTGAAAATGCTGTGAATACTTAAACTATCTACTTTGTAGGAATGTACTGCCTATCCATGAGGAAAGTTCAATATAAATGTTAACTATTATTATTTGCATCATTAAACTGTAATATCTATAGATATGGTGTATATGCCATTGCATCCTGTCTTAGACTAAGGGCTTATAAACCTAGGTATATTGCTAGTCCTAGTCATTAGCGATGTTTTTGTTAGTGAAGGCTAACAGAACAATATTTTTGAAGGAATTATCCTGAGGAATCTTCTTGCTTTCAAAATCTGACAAAGCCTATGATATAACTTTTTACCTGATGAATTGCCAGACCCATGCAGGCCAGTGTTTTTTCTGGCATATCTCTTAATTCAGTTGCAATGTTTGGTATCAAGTTAGTCAATGCATCATCTTGTGTCAGTTCTTTATAATCCACTAAAATACTCCCTTTTCTTTCTATTTCATCCTAGAATATAACGACATAAGGTCATATTTTCATCATGCATTTAAAATTTCATATCTGAATTTTTAAAAAAGTATTTTCATTAAGTACTTCGAAAATACATATTACACATTAAGAATCTTGTTATATGGGATTCTTACCTTATCATACAACTCGATGTGCTTTGTGAAAAAATTTTCAAATGCTTGAATCTTCTGAACAAAAGGAGAGCTATCGCTGTAAACTAATCCAACATATGCCATCAGTATCAAAAGAATTACGTATATACATATGTATGCATACGTGTAAGTATATTTATAAACATACACACACACATTCTACCTTGATGCATATAAACATTACAGAGGGCTCATGGTCTAAGAGGAATATCAGAGGACTGGGGATTAGGAGATCTGTGTTCTATGTCCTCCCCCAATTAGCGACCTTGGGAAAGTCACTTAACTTGTACGAGACCTCAGCTTTCTTATCTGTAAAATAAGACTTGGCCTAGATGATCTCTAAGGTTGTCCCTGTTCCAAATTTTTCTTTCTATGCAAAAGCTTAAGTGATATTCCTGATTATGAAAAGAATATTAAACTAGATGATAAACTGAATGTCCATGTAGCCAAGGGCCACTCGAGTATGTGATCTCACCCTGATCGGTAATAGGAGCTTTGAGCTACTGTTTCTGAACTGAGTTGGTTTAGCCATCCTCAGGCAGCGTGATGGTTCTCAGCTTCAAGGGCTGGGGTTCACCATACTGGTGCTGGACTTAGTGTGGACACTTGATTAACTTAGCTCATTACAACTTGGAGGTCAAGAGATTTACCAGCCTCAGCCAGGAGCTGGGATTATAGGAGTACACCAGAATGGCTGGCTCACTACTGAACTATTAAATAACTAAATCCCATCCAGACAGGTTCACAGATTTAAAGGTGGAAAATACTTCAGTGGCCATCCAATCTGGCCTTTTTATTTAAAAGATGAGAATACCAAGGCTTAGAGAGATGGAGTTGTTTGGCTAAATTCACACAAAAGGAAGCAGCAGAATCAGAATTTATACAACATGGACTGAATGCAAGAAGGGCCTGATGAAGGCCATCGTGTCCAGCCCGCTCGTTTTACAGATGATGAGAATGAAGCACAGAAAGGTTGTGTGATTTGCTCAATGTCACTGAAGCAAACTAAGTCTCTTAGTTTTAAACTGCAGTCTTCCTGCCTCCCTCTATGTCCAATGCCTACGTATAAAGCCAAGTATCCCTTCTCCAAATACAGAACCTTTCCACCATGTCGTGCTGCAGAATACAAATTTTGTTTCATATTCATATTCTGGGTTCCACAAAGTAGCCAAGAAAACGTCATTTATTCTCTTCACTCTTAACTTTACCTTCAGAGAAATAAAATTTCCAGCCTTTATATGGTATGAATTGGTCTAGAGTTGATTGCCGTGGCCAAGGTTCTGGGTTTTGTACTGAAAGATATAATAGGTTATGATTAAACATTCCCCAAACTTTTGCAAAATGATTCCTAAACAATTAAATATCTGTTTTCAAGGGAATGATATTAAAAAATCTCCAAGATAAGAGTATCCAAAAGCCTCTTTGGATATTATTGCACCCCATAACGTATACTATCAACTGTCATGCAGTGAGGAGCTTCAGTTCTTCCTCAAGCAATAAATAAAATGTCATACTTACATGAAACATGTTTCTCTGTAGTTTTCTTCCCATCATTTCTTTGTTCTTTTCCTCTCCCTCTACCAGAGCCCCAGCTACCTCTTCCTCTTCTCCAGCTTTGAAATCCTCCTCGCCCAAATCCTCTGCCTCTAAAATTGGCACTCATGCCCTACTGAGAAAAATTTAAAAGGATTTAGCCAAATCCATATGGATAATACCTGAAAATGTGCAATAGTAAATATACTTGAAATAATGGAATAGATCACAATCTGTTAGCAGTCATACTTATCATATCTATACCAAGTACTCTCAGATCTATTTATCTAGCCCTACCTTCTCTCCTGACCTTCAGTCTCATATCTGTAGTTTTCCTATCTCTGAGGAAGGGGAAAAAGCATTAACATACTGCCTATGGGCCAGTCACTGTGCAAATGCTTTTTTACAAATATTATCTTACTTTCAATTGGACATTTCAAACTAGATGTCTTATAGGTATCTTAAATTCAACATGTCCAATATGCCATTATCTTTCCCCAACAAAACCTCCCCTCTTCACAACTTCCCTATTACTTTTGAGAGCAACCACCATTCTGTCATCCAGGCTTGCAATTTAGGTGTCATCCTTGACTCCTTACTTTTATTCACCTCCCATATCCAATCAGTTGACAAATTCTGGCAATTCTACATCTCCAACATCTTTTGTATATGATCCCTCCTCTTCTTTGACATTGACAATTGTGCAGGCCCTCATCACCTTGTACTCACAATATTGCAACAGCTTTCTATGGTCTCCTTACCAAATCTTTTCCTATTACAGTCCATCCCCCTATTCAGCGGTCAAATTGTTATTACTATTTTTTTTTTTTGGCGAGGCAATCAGGCTTGGATTCACCTGATATATCTTTATCATTTTTATCCTATATATGTCAGTCAGCAAGTATTCATTGAGCATTTATTATATGCAAGGTACTGTGCTAACACCTGGGGATATAAAGGCAAACAGTCCCTGCACTCAAAAGCTCACATTCTAATGGGAAGATGATGTGGAGATGACTATGCTTATTTTTGTTTTTTTAGATGTATGTCTTATGGTTTCAGATTATAGTTTCAAGAAATTTTCAATTGCTTTTAGGGTAAAAGATAAATTCCTCTGTTTGGCATTTAACGTACTTACTGGTTTAGAACTAACCTTTCTTTGTAGGCTGAGTAAACATTACTTTCCCTCACTCATTCTACATTTCAGCCAAATTGCTGCTCCTGATATGTGACTGCATTATCTGCTTTTGCAAAGGCTGCTCCCCCATACCCAGAATGCTTTATATCTGCCCACTACCCTCTTAGAGCACCTAATTTCCTTCAAGGCTCAGTCCAAGTGCTGCCTTCTTCAAAATGCTTGTCCTGGTTCCACAATGGTTGGTCCCCTCCATGACCCACTTATGAAATTATTTGGCATACATTCTGTATTTTCTTATTATAAACATAAGATCCTGAAGGCAGGAACTGTCTCATTTTTTGTTTTTGTGTTGCCAGAATCTAGTATAGTGCCTGGCATGCAGTAGCCACTTAAATGTTTGTGGACTGATTTACAGATGTAATCAGAGATAATAGTTCTATGATCTTCTGATTATCAGTGTTAAGCAAGGTATGAAACATTAAGATATATGCTCACCAAAGGTGTTCACCACTGTCATAGAGGATGTTTTGTGTAGGTTCCAAATATAAGGGGTCCCCAAAAGATAATAGAATCCTCTGGATGTTCCTGTTTACGGACGACATTATGTTAAGTATCAGAATAGAGTGCCTCCTCAGCAGGACCCACAGTCGCTCAAAACAAATCAGTTTAGCTATCTATACAGAAAAAAAACAAGTAGATTAAGAATATTAAATAACTGGATTATGAAATACAGATGGATGGGAAGTTGATGGATTGATCCCTTTAGTATATCTTACAAAGGCATCCTAGATGGACAATTAGTTGCCCCAGATGTTAAATACAAGAGGGGAAAAATTACATTCAGAAAAATGTGCAGTAACTTGAATAATCCCAAGCTGTTCTAAAACCTGTCTTTTTAAAAATACCAACATTCTCCTAGTCATTTTATATGGCTGTAAATCACGGTACACTCCAATCAAAATCAAAGGTGACACAGAGATGCACCATAGACACCTATGTGTAATCTGTAATATATCAGCAAAGGTGACCTGGGAACAAGATGTGGCATAAAAGATATCACCCAGGAACCTATAAATGAAAAAGGAGGTAGTCAGTGATGTAGCAAGCTGAGAAATAATAGATGGTCAACCCAGGTGCTACATCGGCAAATACAATATAGTTAAAAACTTTAAAAACATGGCAAATACTATATAGTTAAAAACTTTAAAAACAAGAGTTCTTAATTTGGGGGCACCTGAACATTTAAAAATATATTTAGTAACTATTTTAACATAATTAGTTTCCATTATAATCCTATTTATTTTATGCATTTGAAAACATTGTTTTGAGAAGGGGCCCACAGGCTTCCCCAGACTACAATGACACCGAACCTCTGACCTAAAAGGAGGCCTGAAGCAAATGAGCGAGCTCAGCTTTGAAAAATTTACCGGAGACCACGGCCTAGGGCGACACAGGAGATGACTGAATGGCGCGGGGGAAGGCGGGGGAATGGGAGGCAACCGGCGAATAGAGAAATAAACAACACGTCGGGCTTCCCCTACTCAGCCCCGTTGTGACCAAGGTCCCTCCCGCCCGGCCAGTCCCTGAGGCGAAGACGCGCGCGGCCACGGCCGCCTCCAGCCGAGCCCCTGGGGGCCTTCTCCTCACCCTCCCCGCAGAGTCTCAAAGGGGATGCTCAGGGACGTCTGGAGGACGTCTGAAAACTCAAACCGGGCCTCTCCAGCGCCGCAGGGCGCGACCTCCAGGGAGGGAGAGGCGCAGCCCAAGCCCTGAGCCCGAGCCACGCGGGTGACAGAAGCCAACCGAGAACTCCCACAATCTCCAAGCCGCCTCCTCTAGTCCGGGGTTCTTTTTTTCGCGCCTGAATGACGCACTTCCGCCCAGGGGAAGCGGCTGAGGAAAGGGAGGGAATAAAACAAGCTGGAGCCAATCGGAGGCTGAATCAGGCGGAAGTTGGAAGGGGGCTGAGCTCTCCTGGCCGGAAAGCGGAAGCGGCATGCTCCGGGATCGTCCTGGAGAACAGGCGGCGCGGTTAGGTCTTGGCTTCAGAGAGCCTGAGGTCTGATGGAGGGAGCTAAAGGAGAGGGGCCGGCTGGAGACGGCGCCATGGAGAACAGCGTGGAGCATCCTCGGCAGCAGGACCACCTCATTCGGGATGGGGACTTTGTGGTGCTGAAGAGAGAGGACGTGTTCAAAGCCGTGCAGGTGCAGCGGAGAAAGTGAGTAAAGGTCCCCCTGGACTGGGGAGGCAGAGGAGGGAGAAAGAGAACCCCTTCGGCACCTTCCTTTCGGGGTCTGCCCCCAGAAGGCCCGGCCTTCTCCTCCCGGGCCACCCGATATAAGCCCAGAGGCACGTTTGATCATGCATCTCACACACCGGGCCAGGAGGAGAAGTAGGCATGTGGCCCTTGCCCGTGCTCCCTCTGCCGCCATCACTCAGCAGCCCTTCAGCTTCCGAGGTGCACGCTGTCTGGCCGTGGGCTCTACCTAAATGGTGGGCTGGGGATTTACCGGCCACTAGGACATCTTCCTTTCCTTAGGAGCTCAGCACCTAGATCTCAGTCTTCCTCTCTGCCTCTACCCTGATCCTCTATTTGGGGACTTCAGTTTACGTGTTGATATCCTCCTCAAAAACTTTGCTCTCCCACTTCATCAACCTCCTTAACTCCAGCGACCTAAACCTTCACTCCATCTCAGCTGCACACGGGGAGTCTCATCTTTCTTCTCCCTATCATCTATAAGTGTTCCACTTGGATCGAGAACTCTGAAATTTCTCTGAGGAACCTCCTACCCTGCTATCTAGCCCCTATGCTTCACTCCTCCAACACCTATTCATCATCATCACTTTGACTTCCAGTTCCCACCCGCTTTGCACTTTCAGGCCATTATCCCTGCTCTTTCACAGGGCTTGGCACATTGAGCTTAATAAATTCTTATTCATTCAATCATTCATTCATTCATTTCCTTCCCTTTCCACTTTTCACTCTAGTTAACCAGGTCAGCTATTCACTGTTCGCTACTCTCCAGCCATTTGCCTTCTTGACCTACTGCCACTCATACCTGGCCAAATTTCAGCCCTACATTACCCTTACCACCTGTCTCCCTCTAGCGCTACAGAACAGCATTGGAGGAATTCACACAACTTTGTTGACTGGGTCCACCATAAATTTGTTATCACTTATCAAATAGGCCTTCAGATTTTGTAGTGTGAAGATCAGTTGGTTTGGAGTCAGAGAATCTGGGTTTAAATCTCACCTCTATGTGTGAACGTGGGCAAGTCATTTTTCTGTTCTTGACCTCAAAGTTTTCTCATTTATGAAATGAGTCGATTGGACCAGATGGTTTTTAAGGAGAAGGGGTAGAAAGTTGGAGAGAGGCAAATTTAATTTAGGCTAAATGTAAAAAGAAACGTCTTAACAATCAAGTTATACAAAAGTGACATAAGCTGCCTGTAAAAGTAGGGTGCCTTTCATTGAAGGACTTCAATCAAAGACTGAGTGACTGCTTATATATATATATATATATGTATTGTGGAGGAGATTCTTGTTCATTTATGGGTTAGCTTAGATAGTTTTTCATGTCCTTTTCATTTCTGAGAGTCTTTGAATCTTCCTTTTCGTTTCAGGTGTTTCCATCTACCTTGCTACCTCTTTATCCTCTTCCTTGTCCCTTAAGGTGGATGTTCCCCTGGCCATCTTCCCTCACTACACTTTCTTCCTAGGCAATTTCATTCATTTCTTCAGCTTCTAATGTAACTTATTTGTAGAAGACTCCTAAATCAGTCACATACAATCTGAGATGTGAAAGGGATCTGAGAAGCCAGCATGTCTAGCTTGTACCTGACCAGGAATCATTTCTACAACATTGCTGTCAGATTACCATTTAGTTTCTGATTTAAATCTTCCAGTGAAGGAAACACCCATGTCTTTCTTCTGAACTCCAGACCTAACTTCATGGAGGAGATGGCGCCTGAAATCAGTTTAATTCAGGAAGCATGTTTTAAACACCTACCATGTCTCAGGCACTTTACTAAGCACTTGGGATTCAGAGATAAAAATGAAACTCCGAGGAGCTTGTATTCGACTTGGAGAGTGGGGTAGGGAAACATGTGGAAACAATATGTGAGCAGCCAAGTAAATCTAAATATATAAATAATAAATGCAAAACAATTTAGGGGAAGGGCACTAACAACTGAGGATATCCAGAAAGGCCTCTTATGGACAGAGCCATTTGAACTGAGCCTTGAAGAAATCTAGGGTTCTAAGGCAAAGGTGAGGAGGAAGAACATCTCAATCATTGGAAGATAGCCTGTGTGAAAGGCACAGAGTTGAGAGATGTGTTGTCATATACGGAAAGCGCCAAGTAGTTCAGTTTACCTGGAACATAAAGTTCTAGAGGGTGAGTAACAAGCAGTCAGCCTGGAAGGGCAGGCTAGAGACAGATTGTGAAGGGCTTTAAATGCCAAATAGGAGTATATATTTTATCATAGAGACAATAGGGCTCATTAGATCATAGATTTGAGTGGGCAAGGATTTCAGCCAGTCAGTAAGCATTTATTAAGTGCCTACTCTGTGCCTGCACTGTACTAAGCTCAAGGGATGCAAAGGAAAAAGACAGTCCCTGCCCTTGAGGATATCACAATCTAATTGGGAGAAACAACAAGTAAACTCTAGGTACAAACAAGCTGTATGTGAGAGATACTGAGGGGAAACTCTACAATTAAGAGAGATTGGGAAAGGTTTCCTATAGAAGATAGGATTTTAGCTTGACCTTGAAGGAAACCAGAAAGTGGAGTTGAGGAGGAGGAGCATTTCAGGCCTAGGGGATAGCCAGTAAAAATGTGTGAAGGCAAGGGATAAAGTATCTAGTTTGAGGAGCAGCCAGAAGGCCAGTGTCACTGGCTCTAAGAATGTGTGTGGACAGTGTCATAAGACTGGAAGGTGGGGGGATGTGCTGGGTTATGATTTGACCCTAGAGGTGATAGGGAGCCTCTGGAGTTTACTGAATAGTGAGATGATGTGGTTAGACATAAGCTGTAGAAAAATTAACTTTAGTGGCTGAATGAAGGATAAATTGGAATGGACAGATCTTTTATTAGTCCAGGGGTTAGACTGCAAAAGGAGTCCATGATAACAAAAAGTAATACCTTATCTAGTTTAATTTCTTCATTATACAAGTAAAGAAACTTAAGACCCAGAGAGATTAAGCAACATAGCCAAGGCCACACAGATAATAAGTAGCAGAAGTGGGAGCCATTGAAGCTTTTTGAGTACAAGCCTATGTGGTCAGAGGAGAGAGGGTAGGATCACCTTCAGAAAATTGTGAGGCTGCTTTAATGACACCAACCTTCTCATGAAAGCACAGCCTAATTTATTGATATTAACATTCTACCAGTGTTGCTATATGGCAATATGACATTGAAAACAACTGCCTCAATAGAAGTAGATACAACTGTCACACAGAGGACAATGGAGACATTCATGGTAGTTTTGAGCAGACTGCAGCATATAAGTGGCAAAAACCTCTGAAGGACAGGGATAAGAGACATCTTCAAGGAAGTGTATTATGGAAAGACAAGATGGCCTGGTCACATGGCAAGAATAATGATGACAGGTATACAGCCAGATTGCTCCACTGGTAGTCTTGTGATGTCAAAAGGAAATAAGGAAGGCATTTAGTTCATGTTGAATATATAAGAATACTTGGTCAAGAGTTGTACAGAATAAACATAGGTGGGTTTTGCTCTGTATTATTGAAGGAAATTTCTAAATTGTTGAGATCACAGAGCCATTCGAGCATTTGAGATAAGAAAAGGGCAGTTTATGGGGAAGCTAGTGTATTCTCTTTTGGACATGTTGGATTTGAGATGCTTGTGGAACATCTAGTTGGAAATTCCATTAGGCAGTTGGTGATACAGTATTAGAGCTCATGAGAGAAAATGGGGCTGAGTATATATAATCTAAGTCATCTGCATAGAGGTGATAATTGATCCTGTGAAAATGAGATTACAGAGAAAAAAGAACATCCAAGAAAAAGCTTTGGGGTACACCCATATGTAGGGTATGGGACATGGATAATAATCCTGCCAAAGAGCATAAGAATTGTTCAGACAAGTAGGAAATGAATCAGCTTATTGTACTGCTTATTGTAATTTTATTTGCACAGAATATTATTTTTCTTTATATTTGGGATGTGGCCCTTCCCTGCCTTCCCTCCCCCAAGATTCCTTTTGCTCTTTGACCTGATATAGCACGTTGTTTTACACCTTTCTATTTGCTAATTTACATTATCTTTATTAGATTATAAGCTATTTGAGGGCAGGAATCTTGTTTTATTCTTTTCTCCCCCAAAACTAACTTCATGTTCCATACACAATGGATTTTCAATAAATGCTTGCATTGAGTGTAATAATATATACTTGATAGTGATTTATGGACATTAAAATTAACCTTATCCTTCCTGCATTGGTAGAAATTTCTAAACCAAAGAAATCATATATCCTGTGCCAAAAGAATTTTTTTTTCTTTTACTCCTCTGTCATTTTCTATAGTTGACTTGTCTTCTCAGATAAATTGTAAGCCTTTTAAGGGCCAGACTTTATCTTCCACAGCCTACAGGGTCTACTAAGGTGCCTTGCAAGTATTGGGAACCTAAAGAAATGACTTTTGATGCCAGAAGCCTAGGGACCTTTAATATTAAGATACATTTGTGGTTTTCTTTGAAATGTAACTGAATCTATTCTTGTGTCAAGGTGTGGCCAGTAGGTTGTTATTCAATATATGTTGGCCCACCCTAGGATCTGAGTTCTGAAAAGGAAGCTCTCTTTTGGTTTCTGATCAATAGAAGGAAGTAAATGAAGAAGTACCTGTCTTTAGAATAAAAGAAGTATTGAAACTTTAAAATGAAGACAACTCTTAGAGATCAGACCCAGGGAGAGATTAATAAGATCAGAGATACTTAATATCTTTGGCTTTTAAAACATCGTCATTTTGTAACTTCCCCCTTTTGTTATTTTAAATCACTGTTTAGTTAGATCCTTCTAAAACCTAAAGATGGGCTGTGATTTTGTAGCAGGAGGGAAATGGGAGACATGGAAACTTGTGTCCCCCTAACAGATAATCTGAGAGGTGAGAAACCCCAGGGGAAGAAAGGGTAGTAGCAACAGAAGGGAGGGGAGAACCAGGCTGGCTCTGAGGATTGAAGTTGGCAGGAGGGCCCA